CTAAGACATAGAATCAATAGCTTCTTATGAATAAAAGAATGTTGTAAAATAGCATATGACTACAGTTGTATTTTATAAAAAAATAAATGTAGACTTTCTAACCTGCTTTTTTGTTGTTTGTTTTAATAATAGTATAAATAATAGTATAATAATAGTATAAAATCAGCTACTTTGGCTTCCCCCTGCCAAAAAACCCCCACTGAGTCACACTTAGTACTACCTGCATGTTTGTGGGTATAGGACCATCCAGTGAGACATGGATAGCCTTTTAGAGCTATCCATGAAGAAACTGACTCTCCCTCTATAGCGACCATCAATTGCTAGTTGATCCCCAGATAAGGGTGGGACTTAATGAGCCCCTCCCTGATTTGTGCTGGATTTTGGCTGGCTTGATCTCGTTCGTGCATATAGCCACTGCTGTTTTGAGTTCATGAGTGCAGTTCTCTGCAATCCTCTACTACCTCTGGCTCCTACAGTCTTTCTGTCACATCTTCTGAGATAATCACTGGGACTTGTGGAAAGGTGTGATAGAGACGTCCCACTTAGAGCTGAGTGCCCCAAATTTTTGAATGATGAGGGACTAATAACTAGATTTTAATACGCATACATCTTCATGCAAAACTAAGATACAAGCACACAGTTTATATTTACCAGCTGCTACTGTGCACCTGTCAATAGGCACTGTGCATATGACGTTGGAGCGCAAGCAGATGAAGATGACAGGCAGGTGAGCATGTGTCCCTAGAGTACTGGGATTGCTTGCCAGCCACATGTAGATCTGCCTGAGTAAGGGACAGATGGTTTTAAAGGTGGCTGCTGCTGCTGTGGAAGGTTCAGCTGAGACCCTCACACCACTTCCTCCTTCTGAGGAGTTGGGTTTTCTTTCATCCTGGCAATGCCTGACTGCCAGGCTCAGCAGGGAACTATGTAACTTGATACTCTGCATGGCCCTGGAAGAGAGTAAGATCAAGTGCAGGTAGAGAGAGCTGGAGATTCAGTTTAAAGCCTGGGACATACAGTCTAAGCCAGCAGTCTTGGTTACTTTTCTGTTGCTGTGCTAACACACTATGACCAAGGCAATTTATAAAAGAAAGTGTTTGGTTTATGGTTTCAGTCCGTGATGGCAGAGTAAAGGAACCCCTCCGAGAGCTCATGGCTTTATTCATAATCATGAGGCAGAGAGAGAGAGAGAGAGAAAGAGAGAGAGAGAGAGAGAGAGAGAGAGAGAGAGAATGCTCCAACTAGGAAGCTTAGGCCAGAAGATGGCAATGAGTTTGAAGTCATCCTGAACTATATTATGAATTCCAGCCCCATTATTTGCCCAGCCTGCATTCTTGTGACATCACTAGCTACGACTTGGATCCTGACTTTCCTCTGTGGTCTCTTACCCTGGAGATAGGGGTTAGGTGGGGGGTCTCCTTGCGGTCTTGCTGCTAATACCAGGACACCTCAGCACAGGCTAAGGACTGAGCTTTTGAGGTGGGGACTGGGGCTACTCTGTAGTGATTTCAGGCCAGGCACAACTGCTTGCAGGCTTCTGCAAGGGTGTCAGTCAGAGTGCAGGGGGACTGGCAGCCTAGGCAGGTCCTTATCCTGTCAACCCCATGGCCACCCACTGATCCTAGTCCAGCTCAGATCTTTACCCTATCTATGAACAGGGTTCCTTTTCCTGCCATCCTACCTCCCAGTCTCCTCACAGCACTGCTCACTGCCCACTCATCCGCCCCTTACTCTAGGCATTGCCACCTTCCTCAGCCCACTGATCTCAGACATTTCCCCCAGCTCATTTTTTGAGTCTGAGCCCTGCATGACTTTCTGTTTCTCAGCACAGACTGAATCGAATCACTAGGAGCCAAAGAGAAAGGAAACTGAAACCAGAGCCTGCAGTGACTGGGAAATGCAAGAGGGAAGGGGAGAAGAGGAAGGGGGAGGGATGAAGGGCGTGTAAAACAACAGCACACCACTGGGAGACATCTGAGGGCACTGAATCTGCCTTACCTATCCACCATACCTTCTCGATCCACAGAAACCACATTTGATTCCCCTGCAAGAGCCACCAGCATGGACAGGGTGCTGGCCACAAACCCCACCCTCAGCCTGGAGGCAGAGGTCAAAACCCTGTGACAGGACTCTGCTCCTTAGAGGACAAAAGAGGAGCTTGGTATCTGTCCTGCCAGTTCCCTGGGCAGGCAGCTCAGAAAAGACCTGCATCAAGCAATTCCCTGGGCTCTGAGGAGAGGTGCTTACTTCCTGAGCTGGGGGAAGTTCTTGGCAGAGCAGGGGTCTTCTCTGAAGAGTAGGACAAGGTCATATGGGCCTGTCTTCATGAGGGCCAGCACCTGTCACCTTCACCAGCCCTGCAGGAGCAGTGTGTTCAACCCTCAGGACCTGCTGTCACAAGGGAGACTGGCAGGGTTCCTCAATGATTCCTGGGATGGTTTTTCTCTGGCCTTCCCTGCATGGGATTGCTCTGCATAGCAAAGGGACTTCAGTCCCCTCCTTCCCTTACACAATAAGGGTTTGGTTCCATCCAGGCCATGGGACCCCCTAAGCTGCAGTTGGGGTAAAGACTGATACTCTTTCATCACAGCAGTCTGTGGGGGCCGGTTGTCAGAGACCCAGCTAACCTAAGGGAGTTGGGAGGGGGCAGTGACTCCTGTGAGACAATGTTAGCTCCTGGGAGGTGCCAGTATGCACAAACATAAGAGTCCCACAGGAGGCCACCATTTCTGTTCATCTTCAACCAGGGCAAATCAGAGGCTCACAGCACAAGGAGACCCGAAGGGAACAAACCAATGGAAAGAGGGAGGTGACAGGGTCTGAGGTTGGGGTAAGTAAGAAGCAGAGGGGACCAGCTGCCACTGACACAGCTTATGGAAATCCAGGTGCAGCTGGAGTGGCCCAGTGAAAAGGGAAGGCTTGTCTAGGCTGTGTTCAGCTGAGAGGAGGTCAGACTGTTGGAGCAGAAAGTGCAGCACAGAGCTGGGCTGGTCCTGAGGGAAAGCAGGCAGCCATTCCCTACTTTAGGACCCAGTCAAAGCCCCTAGGGGTGAGTTTTGTTTCTGAGTTCAGTTTGTGGAGGCTGTGGTTGTAGTGGGGGAAGTCATTTCACTATTTCCCTTTTCTCTGGGAAGGGCAGGAGCCAGTACTGTTGAAAGACATCTGAGCCCTGGCAGCTGCACACTCTATGGGGAGACAGGAGTGGTGAGTATAGCACAGGATTCTGTGCAGGACTGCAGGACTGGGGATGCCTCCTCTGGACATTTGTAGACCTGGTGAGCAGGGCTGTTCGTGGTGCTATTACAATTGTGGGGACAGTGACAATTTGTGTGTGTGTGTGTGTGTGTGTGTATGTGTGTGTGTGGTGTAGTGGTAGCCTGGGCTGCAAGCTGAGGCAATCTCTCTAAGTTTCAATTCTTCCCCTGAAGGGGAGGAGCCAACACTATTTAAAGACACTGAAGCTCAGAAATCCAAGCACTCCATCACTAAGCAGGAGACTGGTGAGTAGCAAACAGGACTAGGGAACACCCCCTAGCTCAGGGCTGGGGGATGCTTCTGGGTTCCCGGTAGATCCTGCAGGGCACTGTGGGACATTTCTCAGTGCTATTAAAATAGGAGGGTCAGTGACAGCACAGGCAGGGCTGCTCCCACCCAGCTGCTGATTCCAGGGAGCAGAGTCTGAAACAGCCCCACAAATCCCAACATCCCTGCTAGGAGGCAGCAGGAGAGGGTGGGGGCCTGGGGTCTCCAGGGTCTGGGGCTAAGGCCTAGAAGAGAGGTTTCAGATCCTCTACAGCATGGGCCAGGAGCCCATGGGAAAGCAGATGGAAGTCTCCTGTTAAGGGTGGGAGGAAGCCGGGTGACCTAGGGGCAGGCTTTGAAGTGAAGGCAGGAGACTGCTTTGGGGACCCTGCTGGAAGTGCTGACAGGGGACCCATGTAGAGAAATGTACCTGCCCAGGGTCTTCCCAGTCCCCAGACAGGAGATGTCCTGGGTGGTCTGAAGCCCTACCTCTGTTCATAGTGCAGGGTGTCCTACAGACCTTCCATTTCAAAGGCTCAACAGCAGGGGGACATGGAGAGCAGGAACCTGGGAGAAGAAAGGGCTCTTGAGTCTCTCTGTGGCCACTTTAACACCCAGACAGGCCTGGGAAGGCTCCTACTCTTACCATCTCAGTTTTCCTGGACAGGCAGGGTAGGGGTGGTTAGGGGTTCTGACAGTGAAAGGACCTGGATCCTATTCCCATGCTCCTGTTTCCAACTGGGCTGAGGATGCTTTCCCAACAGGACAGAAACCAAGGGGAGCCCTGCCATTGGCATCTTTGTCCATACTAAATGGTATATGTCACATGGGGACCATTGGCAAATGCCCACTGCCTACTGTAAAGTGGAAGTGTAACCAATCACCCCAAGGATGGCACAAATGGGCACAGGCCGGCTTGGGTATAAATGCTTAGAGAACAGCATAACTGGTTACTTGTGCATGCTTGACCATTACCTTAATTGAGGCAGGAGCCTGCATGAACGTGGTGGGGCTGCCTTGAGGGTTTCTGTGCAATGGGCTCTTCAGCGGAGAAGAGTTAAGAGAAGCTGTGGAAGTGCAGATGCCCTGTGCACCTACCACAAATGGGGTGGAGCTGGGGCTGGGGACTTCCTCCTTTTGATTGGAACAAGATCTAGATGGGCAGATGAACTTGTCTTGGACTGAAAGTATAGCTGGATACCCAGGGTACTGAGTGAGCACAAGTGGGTGTGACCCCTGAGGTTTCTCTGTCTCTGAGATTCATCAAGTCTCAAAATTAACTCAAGAGAATTGCACACACTTGTAGTTTGCAGATACAACCCAGGGGATACATACTAGAGAAAGAAAAAGAAGAGAAAATACATCTCCAAATCCTATTGTAGAAGTGTAATCTTTGTCATGGCACACAAGCTCTAGGGACCGGTGATTGCACCTAATGGTGTATTAAGACCAACTGAAACAGCCATGGAACAATGGACAAAGCTCAAATTGAAAGTGAAGGGGGTTGTTCATTCTAAAGCCTAAGATCTTCTGGAAATACAAGGTCTTTCCAAAGTCAGGGGAGGTAAGAGTTGTATTTGGACAAAATTCCTAGATTGGCACTCCATGGGTGCCTTTAGAATCACTCCTTTTTTGTGATCCCCCTAACTCACACAAAGAATGCATCTCACCCCTTCTCCAGAATAGGAAATGATGAGGCCTGCTGGAAGCACAGACCCCTGGGGTGGGCAAAAAATGACAGGCAGTTCTAAATTTTGGTGTCTCTTGTGTTTCTTAGTCAAGGGTCCAACCAGTGGCAGCACTTCTGGACTCTTCTGAATAAAACCCTGAAAAAAACACAAAAATCACCAGGGGAAAAAATACCAGGATGCATTCTTCCAAGAAAGTCAATCAGAGAGAGCTGACTTCTGCATCCTGTCACCTGAAACCACATAAACATCCTGAGGACAGTCAAGCAATGGTGAGCTGCTCTCTAAAGCCAATCTCCATAGGACATGAGCTGTGTCCACCTGAGGAAAGGGTGGCTCTGCAGTTAGGAATGGGTGTACAATGCTAGAAAGGAGTGAAGGCAGCTGTTTCTGTGACAAAATGGCTTTCTTATCTTTGGGGGCAAGATGGTGATCTCAGTTAGCTGCTTACTTTTCTTGGGTCAAGGTGAGAACAATGGCCTATCTATCTCCTTTACTGAATGTTGTCAGTTGCAATCTTTGTCTGGGAAACCAGGGGCTTATTGGGGACTGGCAGAGCCCTGAGTGCTGGATGTGATATATTGTTCCTTTCCAGCTATAACCCTGTGAGGTCTTATTGTGACATTACCTCCCTGGAGAAGCCATGTGGTACATTTTCATAATTGTTGAGTTTTCAGAGTTCTTTATATATTCAGGTAAAATTTTTGCTTAGATACATGCTTTGTAAATATTTGTTCCTTGACTACGGCTTGTATTTGCATTTTTCAACCAGGTGTTTAGTTCTCATTAACTTCTATTTATTGATAAATGCTTTTATTAATTTTGCTTTTGGGATCATATCTATGAAACTAGGGCTGTGTTGACTAGTTTTAAGTCAACTTGACACAAGCTAGAGTAATCTGAGAAAAGTGAACCTCAATTGAGAAAATGCCCCATCAGAGTGACCTGTGGGTAAACTTGTGGCAAATTTTCTTGATTGATGATTAATGTGGGAGGGCCCAGCTCTCTGTGGGCAGTGGTCAATGGTACTGGGTTTTATAAGAAAGCAGGTGAGCAAGCCATGGGGAACAAGCCAGTAAGCAGCACCCACCACGGCCTCTGCTTCTGCCTCCAGGTTCCTGCCTTGAGTTCTTAGCCTGAATCAGTTATGGAATGTGACCTGAGAGTTGTAGGCATCAATAACCCCCTTCTTGTCCAAGTTGCTTTTGGTCACTGTCTTATCACTGCAGGTAGCAGACAAACTAAGACAGTTTCATGACTTTTCCATTAATGTCTGTGATTGATCATGAATTCACAATTTTGAGTTATAGAGGGGTTCTTTTTTCCTCAGTATTATACAGTGAAGTGTTTGAAATCTGCTTGGTAAAAAGTCCTTACTTCCCCCACACTGCCTTCATATCTCGTCTACCCCAGTTCTGTGTGGTGACTTTCATGGTGGTGTTTTCTGCTCCATTAATGCCCTTTCTGTCCTGTAAAGCACCATGCCCCCTTGCTGATGTTTTTTCAACATCTGGGACTAGGGGATGCCACCCTCTCAATTAGTGGTTCTTTCAAAGCAATTGCCTGTTGAAGCAAAACTTCAGCCGTTTATATTTAATGTGATGTGCTGTTGTTGATTGAGAACAGAGAGTTGTCTGCTTTCTGTGTTAAGTCTTTATTTCCCTCTTTCCTGATATTCTCCACCTTTTAGATTAAACACTGTATTTTGTGAATGCAGTCTATGCTCTCTGTTGACTGTTCTTTTGGTGCTTTTAATGTCCTTTTAAAAATTTGATAGGCATATAGCACCTCTGGGTGACACAATACCACTTAATGTGGAGGAGGTATAATTAGTAGGATCATGATTACATGTGCCGTTGTCACCCTCCTTCCTGTCTGTCTGGGTCTTTATTTTCTATTAACCAGAAAAATCAATGCATTGCTGTTGGTTTGCTCAGACATCATTTAAGGATGGTCAATTCATAAGCAATGATGGCAGCCCCCACTTGTGGCCTCTGATCCACTGTAGGATTCATGATTCCTCACCTGCCACTTTTCCTTTGCACACACAACACTTTTCACAGTTCCCGAAGTGCTGGAGGGCTGGGGATGAGTTTGTTTTGATTTTGCTATCTGAAAAACCTGTGTGCATTTAGTCATCATATGAGTGATTCCATGAAAGCACCACAGGAGAGAAATTAATAGTAGGCAATAGGTCGCCTTTTTTAAAAATCCCAAACCGGTCATTATGTGTTGGCAATGTTGCTTAACTCTCCAACTCTCAGTTCTCTTGTCTGTATTGTAGGGCTTAGTAACAACAGCAGTGCCTGTCCTAACTGTCCTATCAGGGGGCAAGGAGAGAGAATGTGTGCAAAGCACCCAGTGCCCTCCTCAACATCTACCACTAAAATAAACTCTCAGCCTGTCTCATTCACAAAAAATCCAAACTAGCTAATAAGCCTTAACATAAATATAGACCTCCATGGTATAGACAGATTTTTCTCTGCCCTGCCTGCTAGTTCCCAAATAACTACACAGAGACTTACTATTAATTATAAATGCCCACTTGACAGCTTAGACTTGTTATTAACTAGCTCTTCTTGCAGCTTAAATTAATCCATATTTCTTATCTATGCTTTACCATCTTTTTTCTGCATGGCCAATTCATCTCCTGCTTCCTCTGCATCTGGCTGGCGACTGATCTCCTTCTTCCCTGTGGGGTCTTTTTGTCCACAAGTCCCTCCTAACCTCTATCTCCTAACTATCGGCCATTTAGCCCTTTATTAAATCAATGAAAGCAACACACATTCACTGTGTACAAAAAGATTGTTCTACATCACCATGGCTTTTTATAGGATGCTTATAGAGCAACAGCCTAGTTTTGGCTTGGAGACATACTAGTCCTAAGCATACTCCAAAAGTCATTTTATGTAAATCCTTTTCCATTTCAAAAGATACTTTTACTAGATATAGAGTGGTGGTGGTTTTTTTTTTTTTCCGGTAATCCTAAAACACTGTGGAATGGACATATCTAGCTCACTGGCACAGCATGTAATTAATTACACATAAATCCTTCTTCCACTTCACTAGATACTTTTCCTGGATGTATACTATGACGGTGTTTTGTAAGTAATCCTAAAACACTGTAGAGCAGATAAGTAGCCCATCGGCACAGCATGTGATTAGTATGAATGATAACCTGGGTTCAATTCCCAGCACTAAAACAATAAAGAAAAAGTCACCCCCATTGTCTGCACACTTGCTTTCTTTCTGATAAAGCTAACAAACCAACAAACAAAAAATAGCTGTTAAGCTGGTCTTTGTTCCTCTCAGTCTAAAAATTTTAAAAAATATGTATTTTTGTTTGTGTGCATTTTGTCTGCATGTGTATATGGGCATCGTGTACATGCTGGATACCTGTGAGGTCACAGGAGGGAGCTTTTATCTCTTGTGATTTGAGGAACAATTGGGTGTGAGCCACCCTGTGGGTAGTGGGAACCAAAGCCACACCCTCTACCAGAGCAGCAAGTGCTCTAAATGCTGAGCCATCTCTCTAGCTCCTCTAACTACTTAAAAAATTTACTTTTGTTTTATGTGCATATGTGTGCACCTGCATGTTTGTCTGTGTACCACATGTATATGATACCCGAAGAGGCCAGAAGAAGGCATTGGATTCCCTAAAACTTGAGTTACAGGCAGTTCTGAGCCACCTGATGTGCCTAGAAATGAACCTGGGTCCTCTGCAAACATAGAAAGCGCTCTTAACCTCTGAGCCATTTCTTCAGTCCCTTTCTGGCTAGTTTAAAAATACCCTTTGTTATGATTAATTTGGAACAATTTGATCTAATGGGCCTGGGAGTTTATTTTGAGTGTCCCATGTCTGAGTTTTGTTGATTTTCTTTGATCTTTATGGTTGTCATTAAGATCGAGAAATTCATATTTATTGTTTCTTCAAATATTTTCTGCTCATTTACCATTGTCATGAGGGTTCTGACACTGTATATAAGAGTCCTTGAACTCAGCAGTCTTTGATGGAGCATTTCTGAGGAGTGTGCCCTTACTTTTGCTTTACCCTCATCTAGGACTCTGTGAACAACCTCTGCAGGCAGTATGAGGAGAAGGTACGGCCCTGCATTGACCTCATCGACTCCCTGCGGGCCCTGGGTGTGGAGCAGGACCTGGCCCTGCCTGCCATTGCAGTCATCGGGGACCAGAGCTCAGGGAAGAGCTCTGTGCTGGAAGCACTGTCAGGAGTGGCCCTCCCCAGAGGCAGTGGTGAGAGCTCAGTGCTTATTGCCTAGCTAGGCTGTGGGGCTTGGGACTCAAAATATAGAAACAGATTCCCTCCCAGTTTGGGCTCACAGCACAATGAAGGTTAAGATGGTCTTCCTTCTTGGCTTGTGGGCAGCCTTTCTTCTATACAGCCTTGCATTTTCCTTCTCATCTCACAAGGGCACCAGTCTCAGTGAGTGGTTAGGGCTCCATCCATGCAACTTCTCAAGGCCTCCATCTGCCCAAGTTACCTCCTTTAGGGCTCTGTATCCAACTGTGGTTGTCCCGACCCGCAGGACAGCAACCTAGAGCAAAGAAGTCCTGGGAGGGGAATGGAGACAAGAGACGCAAGAGAATGACCACAAGACAGGATTCTGATCAAGTGGCAAAATTTATTTTTTTCAGGCTAGCTTATATAGTCAGTAGTATGGGGTAAAGAGGAGGCAGAGAAGAGGCCAAGAGCCAGGCGTTAGTTTAAGCAGGATGTTAGAAAACTATAGAAAGAGGATGTTGGCAGGGGAAAAATTTCATGGGTGGTGGGGAGAGGGAGGGTTACCTAGGTGAGTGGTGGGATTCGGGAGGTTTGCTTAGGTGAGTGGTCTTGTGGTTGGAACAAAGGATTGATGTCTGGGTCATGTTGTTCCTTCTGGGTGCTCATGCTTCTAGAAGCCATTTATAATGGAAAGGCAGTTTCTATAACCGTGTGGCTTGCCAAGTTTGGCCTAAAGGTTCATGCCAAGCTGTATGGCTCCCAACATCCAACAGTCACTGTAGGTGTTGGGGCTGAGCACATGTGCTGGGTGTTAGGGTGGCTTTCAGTCCATCACATGGTCCCATTGTATATTTGTGGAATCTTAGTTTGTAGAAGATCTGACTAAATGCCAAGAACTGTATATGCACAATTTCTTTTCTGAGCCCCTCCCATGAATGGCCCATCCCCTAGGCACATAAAGGTTGGTGCTCAGGCTGGGGTTGCTGTTTGAGTTTTAAGACCTAGGAGGTCAGTGATGGCTCTATCAATGTGGGTGAGATGTGACAGGGAGACAGGAATTTGGCAGAAGTTTGTAATAGGGGCTTGAAGCTGCCTGAGGGACTAGTGAGTGGGTGTGTAAGGGGGTAGGAGAAGATGTTTGCATGTGAATGAATGCTTCTCCACTATAGTCTGATGCCTCTGGAGCTGGGGCACCCAGCTTGCTTCCCATTGCTTGATAAAGACAATGACCAAAAGCCACATGGGGAGTAAGGGGTTTGTTGGCCTTACTTGTCCAGATCACAGACCATTATAGAGGGAAGCCAAGAGAAGAACTCAAAGTAGGAACCTGGAGGCAGTAACTAAAGCAGAGGCCACGGAGGGGTGCTGCTTACTAGCTTGTTCCTCATGGTTTGCTTAGCCTGCTTTCTCATAGAACCCAGGACCACCTGCCTAGGGGTGGCATCACTAACAGTTAGGTGGGTCCCCCATATCAACCATTAGCCAAGGACAGACCTCACAGCATTTTCTCATTGAGGTTCCCTCTTCCCAGATGGCTCCAGTTTTCAAGTTGACAAAAAAAAAATAAATGAACAACAACAACAAAAAGCCCACAACCCAATAAACACAAGAAGGTACCACATTGTGGACAGAAGTTTCTGTCCTGCCTGGTCCCACAGTCCTTTAGGCCCAAATAAACACACAGAGGCTTATATTAATTATAAACTGTTTGGCTGATGGCTCAGGCTTCTTACTGACTAGCTCTCTCTTAATTACTAAGCCATTTCTATTCATCTATGTAGCTCCACATAGTCTTGGCTTATTGGTGATGCCCAGGACTCTTCCTTCCTTGGCAGCTACAGCTACATGGCAACTGTTCCCTGCCTTCCCTCTTCCTGCAATTCTCCTAGTCTGGTAGCTCCGCCTATGCTTCCTGCCAATCAGCATTTATTCATAAACCAATAAGAGAAACATATATTCTCAACATACCAAGGGACATTCCCCAACACCACACCATGAGGAAGAAGGAGCCTCAAGCAGATGGTTATCTGGTTCCCAGTGCATAGACTTGGGGTCAGCCTGGATTTAAGGCATCAGGTAACGAGAATGAGACCAGAAAGGTTTAGGTTTTCAGATGGGTATGTGAGATAGTGAGGGCCATTTGTCAAAGGCTTTCTGTGGCAAAGCACAAGATTGATGTGGCTGCTGTATCTTAGGTATCGTTACCAGGTGCCCTCTGGTGCTGAAGCTGAAGCAGCTGGGACAGGGAGAGGAATGGAGAGGCAAGGTCACCTATAAGGACACTGAGGTTGAGGTCTCAGACCCCACAGAAGTGGAAGGAGAAATCAATAAAGGTATGCACATGCCCACATTGGCTCCTCATTCTGGTCAGGCAGTAGACAGAGAATCCCCAGGACTGTTCACACTCTCCAATTTCTGGGCCTTTCCACATTGGGAGCCTTCCTGTACTTGGGCCCACGGGTTCTAGAGCATTGCCATTTAATGTCATGGCCTCATTGAGTATATGTGGCCATTGGAAAAGACAAACCCTGTTACACATCAGAAGAAAACATCTCAAACACACTGTGACTGCTGAGTCGAGCAGGGCGAATTTAGATAACAACTTGATGCAAGGGTTACCATCCTAGATTCTGTTACTAAGGGCAAGTCTGCTAACAGACACCTGCATCCAGGCCTCCTCCTGTCCAGGATGAGCTCATTGCCTCCCTGGATGTCCATTCATGCTTGAGGGGTCCCTATTGTGCACTTGTGGTTCTCCCCTGACAGTGCCAGAAGGGTTCAAGGAAGAATGTCCCTCTCTGCTGAGAGCAGCTTCCTCACCTTCTAGCTGATAGGAAGCAGAAAGAACTACAGGAAGGGGCAGAAATGATACATTAAACACCAGTGTCCTGTCCATAGTGATCTCCTACTTCTAGTTAGATCCCATCTCCCAAGCTTCTGGAATCTTCTAACATAATTTCACAACCAGAAAACCAATCTTTCAGTATAGAAGCATTCTAGAGGTAACATTTCACATCCAAAATATCACAAAATGTTTCCCCAGAAGTCTCTGTAATATTATGTGCCCCCTAAACTTCATTGGGCTTTCATTTTTCCTTCTCCCAGCCCAGAACTTCATTGCTGGGAAAGGGCTGGGGATCAGTGATGAGCTCATTAGCCTGGAGGTCAGCTCCCCCAATGTTCCAGACCTGACCTTGATTGACCTGCCTGGGATCACCAGGGTGGCTGTAGGCAACCAGCCTGCAGACATTGGATACCAGGTGAGACTCTAGATTCCACTCTGACTCACACTGGAATGCAAGGGGCACTGGAGTATGTCCATGGCTATGTCTAAGAGGGACCCTGTGGAGGTGGGAGTGAGGCTGGATGGCCAGGATTCACTACAGAGGGTGCAGTCCATGGAATCCAGGACCTGAAGCAAGTGGATGGTCACAACCATCTTACTCCCAATCCTGCCTCCATAGCTAGGAGTTGCCATCTCATTTCTTACAGATCAAGAGACTCATCAAGACATATATCCAGAAACAGGAGACCATCAACCTGGTGGTGGTCCCCAGTAATGTGGACATCGCCACCACGGAGGCACTGAGCATGGCTCAGGAGGTGGACCCTGAAGGGGACAGGACCATAGGTGAGGAGAGTGGGAGATGACAGTGGTGTGTGGGTACCAGTGGGGACACATCCCCTGGATCCAGTTGGAGCAAGCTCAGTGCATACCCAGGGTCCCACTGAGTTGGGATCAAGTGACCCCCTTCATCTCATCTCCCTGGTAGATGAGAAGTCAGAGGTGGACAAGCATGGGGAGCAGTCATATTTGCTCAGATTCACTGGCTTAGGAGCCATGGTAAGGTCCACACAGAGAGTAAGGATTCACAGCTGTGGTCTCTCTGGGAGGTGGCCATGGAGAGGTGTTAGGAAAGAGCCTGCAGCTAATCGAGGGGCTTCATTGTCTTCATAAGGACACCTGCACATATCTCTGTACATTCTACATGATTTCTCTAGCTACCTTGTCTACCTCACAAAGGATGCTTTCTCCATGATGAAACACCATGCCCAAAAACAAGTTGGGGAAGAAAGGGTTTATTTCAGCTTACACTTCCAGGTGACAGTCTGTAATGTTTGAAAGAAAATGGCCCCCAAAAGGAGTGTCACTATTAGGAGGTGTGGCCTTGTTGGAGGAAGTGTGTCACTATTGAGGCGGGCTTTGAGGTCTCTTTTGCTCAAGCTTCCCTCAGTGTGACTGTCAGTTGACTTCCTGTTGAATGCAAGACATAGCAGTCTCAGCTCCAGCACCATGTCTGCCTGTCCACTGCCATGCTCCCCATCATGATGATAATGGACTGAACCTCTGAAACTGTAAGCCACCACCTCAATGAAATGCATTCTTGGTAAGAGTTGCTGTGGTCATGGTGTCTATTCACAACAATAAAAACCCTAACCAAGATGTAGTCCATCACTGAGAGAAGTTAGGGCAGGAACTCAAACAGTAGGAACCTGAAGGCAAAAGCTGATGCAGAGGCCATGGAGGAGTGCTGCTTGCTCAGCCTGCTTACTTATAGAACCCAGAACCACCAGTCCAGGGATGGCACCACCCTGATAGGAAGGCTGGGCCCTTCCCTATCAGTCACTAATTAAGAAAATGCCCTAAGGATTTCCTACAGCCCAATCTATGGAGGCTCTTTATTTCTTTTCTTTTTTTGCCTTTTGTTTGTTTGTTTTTGTTTGTTTGTTTGTTTGTTTGTTTGATACAGAGGTTTCTCCTGCCCTGGCTGTCCTGGAACTCAAGTTGTAGACCAGCCTGGCCTTAACCTCATAGAGATCTGCCTGCCTCTGCCTCCCAAGTGTTGGGATTAAACACATGAACCACCATGCCCAGTGGGAGGCATTTTCTTAACTGAGGTTCCCTCTTCTCAGATGGCATTAGCTTGTGTCAAGTTGATCTAAAACTATCCAGCACATGTGGGAAGTAGGCCTTGGCTCCTGGTGGCTGGTGAGAGCTGTGCTTCCTGATAGCTTGGGGGCAGTGTGTCCTCTGATCTCAATGCCTGTCCCGTAGGGATCTTGACCAAGCCTGATCTGGTGGACAGAGGTACTGAAGACAAGGTCGTTGATGTGGTGCGGAACCTGGTGTACCACCTGAAGAAGGGCTACATGATAGTCAAGTGCAGAGGCCAGCAGGATGTCCAGAAGCGGCTGGACCTGGCTGAGGCCCTAAAGATGGAGCAAGCCTTCTTCAAGGAGCACCCATACTTCAGGTGCCTCCACCGTGCTGTTCCGTACTGGTCAAGAGCAGACTTGACATGAGGAGTGTGCGTGTGTGTGAGGGGAGGTAGTTTGTGGCATGTACAGGCACCACAGTGCACATGTGGAGAACAGAGAACAGTTTGTGGGAATTGGTTCTTTTCTTCCACCATGGTGGATCCAGGGATTGAACTCAGGTGGTAAGAGTTGGAGGGAGACACCTCTACCCAATGTATGAAGACCTGCATCTATATGCTTTGTGTATATTCATGTGTGTTATGCATTAGTGTATGTACTCATATGTGTAGACTATTATGGATGGGTATACGTATGCTAAAATGTGTATTATACATGCAATTGTGCGTGTGTATATGTACTCACATATCAAATACAGAAGGATATACTTGTGTGTGTCACATATAGAAGGTGTGTTCATGAGTGTTCATGTGTATCACACATAGAATGGGATATTGTGCCATGATAACGTATCTGTAGTTGCGTACATGTTCTGGGGAGAACAGATTTTACTCTGATCATTAATGTGCTGAGGGGGATTGTGGCAGCCCATTGTGGAGCTATCCTAGCTTGTTCCCCTGTATCATTGTACAGAACCATCTCTGGGTACTCCACGAGTACCAGTCTCAAGGCACCCACTCATTGATAGTACCCAAACTGGGCCTGGCCTTCCCACAGCAGGCAGCAGACTTGTGTTCTGACAAAGTCTAATGGGATCCTCTCTCCTGTTCCCTCAGAGTTCTTCTGGAGGATGGGAAGGCCACAGTGCCCTGTCTGGCAGAGAGACTGACCACGGAGCTCATCTCACACATCTGTGTAAGCTGGGATGGTTGTGTCTACATCAAGCTGAGCTGGGACTGGTATAGTCTTGGACACACAAGCTGGTCAATACCTCTTTGCATTGACATGTTGTGTTTGTGAGTCAGTGACTCCAGCATAGAGAAGGCTTTGTGTGGTGTCTGCTGCTGTCACCCTTAGGGTCCGGATGGCATGGCTGTAAAGCCCCTCATTCTGGAGCTGATCTCGAGAGCCTGAGTTCAGATGGGCTCTTCGGACAGAAGCCATGTTCACTTTCTCTGACCTGTGGAGTCTGCATCTCAAACCACCTGGGGAGTTGAGAATACGCAGCATATGTGGATTTAGTGTCCAGACCTGTTTGAGGACTGCTGTGGAAAGATACTCAGCAGTGATCTTCACCTCCCGGGCTCTTCCTGTGTTCATGATCTTCATGCAGTCCCCAGGCTGCAGGTGGAGATCAGGGCACCTCGGGGCACCATGATCTTAAGGCTCTCTGAGCTGCCTTGATGCAGACAGAGGCAGGCCTGTTCTGCTGAGCTCTGAGCCCCGAGATGCCCTGGGGACAGCAAGCTGCAGAGATCTGTTGAAAATAACACATGAGTTGAAGGGTCTCATGTTAGTCCAGCTGCTGTCATCTCAGAAGCTTCTAGAAGATGCTCTGTAGAGTGTCTCTGCATAGAGTCATGTTTTGATCTGTAAGGAACTGTCTCTGGGTGGTTCTTTTAAGCAGTAACCATGTGTAGTGGGCAGTTTTACAGAGTTGTATGCCCAGGGCAGGTGTGGGGGTAGACCTGAGTGACAAGGGTGCCTCCAAAGCATGACTGTGCACCAGGGAAGCCTTGAAAGACTGTTAGAATGTCACAGGCATGGGCAGGAAATCCTGTCTGCCAAGACTCACTGGCTGAGGAGCCATGGGAAGTCTGAAGTGAGTGAGGGATGAACAGCTTGTGTCACCGCCATGCTTCTGAGCATCTTGGGGCCTCCTTGGCACTCCCAGTCTGTATGTTTATGCCACACTCATTTCTGTCTACTTCAGAAATCGCTGCCACTACTGGAAAATCAAATAAAGGAGAGTCACCAGAGGACAAGCGAGGAGCTGCAGAAGTTCGGCATAGATATACCAGAAGACAATAATGAGAGAGCTTTCTTTCTGATCGATGTGGGTATCACTTGTGACTTCCCAGGGAGAATCCCTATATCACTGTCTTAGAGGGATCTCTTCTGTCTTCAGTTTCCTAAGATGGACAGAAACACATTCTGGCCACCAATAGTACTAACACTAATGGGGACCAACACTAATGGTTGAAAGTAGGGTGGAGCTAGTTAGGACTGGGGGCACTGGGAGAAGGGGCAGGATTTCCTGATGCCAAAGACATTTCTCTCTATTATTTCACATGGCTCAACAACCATCAGGGCATGCATGTCCTCTACCCACCTGATCCTTGTATGTGAATTATTTCCTTCATAGAAAATTAATGCCTTCAATAAGGATATCACTGCTTTGGTACAAGCCCAGGAAACCGTATCAGCGGGAGGCAGCCGGCTGTTTACCAACCTGAGAAATAAGTTTCTTGACTGGAGTAATTATATTGAGAAACATTTCACAAAAAGTGAGTGTCCATTTGGGTTGGTGTACTTGATACTTTGGTAACTTGAATTCAATTGCTATGGCCAAAAGAAGGTGTTGCCTGAAGTTCAAGGTCAAGGCACCAGATGAGGTGTCTGGTGAGGGTACCATACCTGCTTCCAAGATGGCACCATCTAGCCCGGTCTTCATGTGTGGAGGGTGACAGCCAGCTTCCTTTGGCTTCTGTTCTGAGGACACAGACACCCTCTGTGAGGGTGAGGCCAGAATGTGCTAGTCACTTCTTAAAGGCCTGCTTTTCAATGCCAGTACAGTAGGGATGAAGTTCAGCGTGTGACCTGGGGGGACATGTTCCTCCCACAGCAGGGACTCTGGGCTCCACCTTTGACCTGTGATTTGGGGGAGACTTTGAAGTATTATGCAGTGGGTGAGGATGGCTGGAGTGTGAACACAGGAGCCACATTTACTTTGAGTCGCAACCCCCAAGCTACCTGTTCCTCATTCATAAGTACATCTAGAGAAAAATGTGGGTTAATTACCCTAGCTAATTATGGCTTTTGGAAAAATCTATGCTCCTTGAACAGAAAGCAGATGGATATGGTGTGTATGGTCTGGGGAGGCCTGGGCAGACAAAAATCACAGGTACAACTAACTACAGGGCTAGAGAGAGGGAGGAGCGTGAAGGACAGATTTCGAGAAGAGCAACAGCTCCTCAAGGTGACAGAAAGGTGTCAGAAACAGGCAGTTTGGATCATAGCACAGGCCTGTGACATGCTAGAAGCATGCTCACTGTAAATGAGTTCTACTGCATGTGAAATGGCAACACAGACATTTCCTATGGGACTGCTTACCCTCCCTAGACGGGATAGCTAGCACACCATCAGGTCTACAGTGGGAGCCTTCGGAAGGCTCTGCTTCTGATGGGATGGAAGTTGTTTTGGAAGCAGGGAGAGGAACTAAGCATTTTATTTCATGTACACTTGGGCCCTCCAGGTGCCTGTCTGCTTCCCCTGCTGCCTCCTCCCATGGTGTGTTTTGACCCTTCTTCTCTGCTCAAAACCAAATGGACTCATAAATCCTCACACACAAGGTTGTTTGGAGGTCATATCTTCCTCTGGTTTCCTCTTGCTATATTCTGCTGTGGCCTCTGTATATGTGCATTTCACTTTGAAAGAAGTGACCTTTGACACAGTTTTCTGATTGTTTTAAAGGAACATGTCAACATTTAACTCACTTCATGTTTTTGTTTGTTTGTTTGGTTGCTTTTTTTGGTACTCATCTTTTTAGAAAGACAATAGTTGGATTAATTAATTAATCAACCAATTAATTAATTAATAAAGCCATGCAATATGCATTCTGTAACAACAATTCTTTCAACCCTAGGTTCTGCTGAGATACACAGCCAGATCCAAGTATTTGAAAAACAGTATCGTGGCCGGGAGCTGCCAGGGTTTGCGAACTATAAGACATTTGAGAACATTATCAAAAAGCAAATAAAAGTCCTAGAAGAGCCTGCCGTGGTCATGCTACACGAGGTCACTGGTGAGTGCTGTCCTGAGTCATTGGGGAGTGCTGCATAGGGTCACCGGTGAGTGGTACAGGGGTCACTGAGGAGCACCCCCCCACCTGCACTTTTGCCATTTCATTTCTGGAGCAGGAGGTATCAGCATCCAAGGCAGCTTTACACCTCAGAGCTCTCATCCAGGCAGGTGGCAGGCTTTCTGAGCTTTAGATGCCACTGTGGTAATTCAGTCCATTCTGACCCTGTGGGCAGGCACAGGGATTTGCTTGTCAGAGGGCAGAGTCACCTAACCTCCTAGGCCCTTGCTGAACCTCTTCAGGAGCACAGCCAGAGTCCTTTGTGCCAGGTGAAGCTGGTCCTCACTCACTGCAGTGCTCCTGCCTCAGTCTCCTCTCTGCTCCCTGTCTCCTGGGCTCAGTGCCAACTCACTTCCGCTGTCCAGCTGAAGGCCCAGTTGAACCTCAACCGTCTCCTGCCTTCAGACTACCTGCGATTGGTACAGACCCCACAGGTCCCAAACTCCTGTCCTTCAATACAGTAGTACTCAGAGGCCTCCCGTTCCCTTGGCTGGCCCACTCTATCTGAGTTCTTGATATCCTCTCTTCAGGTTTGGTGATCGCAGAACTTGGGAACAGGCTTCACTGACATTGTGTGCTATGTGGAAATTACAAAGGAGGCAGAGGCTTTGTCACTGTGGGGTTGGGGTGTACCTCCTTCCTAGCAGAGATGTACAGTATAGAACCTGACACTACAGTCAATGTTAGATGTATGTGAGGAAACTGAGACAAATGGAAGTTTCTTTCTTTTATTGTTTTAAGGCAAAAATGGGGAAGATGACATACGATCTCAGATCACAGGGACTGGAGAGGCAGCTCAGTCAGTATATCGTTCACCTTGAAAGCATGAGGGCCTGAGTCCAATCCCTAGAGCCCACATAAAAAGCTGAGTGGAGTAATAAGCACTGTGGAGCCAGAGATGGGGCAATTGGGAGGAGGATCTGAGGCTCACTAGCTAGTCAACTTGTCCTACTTGCAAGCTCCAGGCTAGGTAGAGACCCTGCTTCATGAAAAAAAAAAATGTTGAACAATGCCTATGTTGAACCCTGGAGATTGTGCCCTGACTTCTGTCAGGTGATCATGTCTACATTCTGTCCTGCATGACATCTAGGCTTTAGTGACTTATATGACAACATTCGCCAGCAGAAGTAATTTCTCCAGAGTAGAGGAACTAAAGTTAACATTCCAACTTCTGTAAATGCTTCTTGTGTTTATTTCATGTGGATAACTGGGCACTTGGGGTCACAGACAGGAGTGAGATGGAGGTAACAGGTTCTGGACAAGGAATTGCTATATTTGTAATTTGCTAGAAGTATCCTTTGAAGCTAGTTAGGAACCAGGGTATAATCCATGCCAAGAGATAGTGAGGTTTCAGATACTTGCAGAGTTCCTCAGCTACAGAGCACACCCTCCTCTTCACAGGGGTTAGAAGAGAAGGCAGAGAGGGACCATGGAGAAAACTTTGTTTTAGTCACATTAATCTAGCTTTTCTATTCAGAGTACAGATGATCTTACCAATATTTAACTTTTTCCTTTTTCATCAGACATGGTCCGAATCGCCTTCACAGGGGTTTCGTTAAACAATTTCGGTGAACTTTTTAACCTCCACAGTGCTGCCAAGGTAAATCCAACTACCTGTTTTTTTTTTTTTTTTTAAGAATAATAAATAAGCATGATTTCTTGGTTTGAGATTATTCCTGCTTTCTTTTGTCTGTTCAGAGAAATGAAGAATCAAGTTTACGTTTGTGTCTTCATGACAATGCTACAGTTCTTCTGGTTAAAGCAGACATGAGAAGAGAAAGAAGGGAGGTGGGGGATGAATTCATAGGCGAGACACTGAAACCCACAGGCCCAAGGAGTCTTGTTAGGCAGGAGCATGGTTCCATGCAGAGGAAGTAAACCTACTCTGGATACCCCACAGGAACAGGAAATGTAATAAAAATGGGAGGATCCTGTCTGCCATTCTCTGCATTCCCTGACAGATGTTTACCTGTGACAAAGGGCTTGCTTTGGCTTACAGTTTGAGGGGATACAGTCCACCCTTGCAGGGTAGGATGAGTGCTGCCCTCAGCCCTTCCTCCCATTCATTCAGTCCAGAGCCCCACACCACGGATAGTGCTGCCCTCAATAGGGTGCCGTCCCACCTCTCTGGAAACACCTCAGAGACCAGTCTCCAGAGCGATCCTAAATCCAGTCAAGCTGACCATCACAGCAGGGAGCAGCCCACACCTGGCTCAGGCTTCCCTCTGGTTCCCACCCTCAGCTGGTAGGGTGGCATGGATGAGTTGAGCAAGGAGCTACAGGGGCTGTCCCCAGCGATACCTGTGTTTGTTCTTGATGGGTGGCCTGATGCTTGTGGCTACATCAGGCATCCTGTGTTCTTACTCTGCCTCATGTGTTTCTTGATGGCTGTTGTAGCAAGCCATCAAGTTCTGGTTGGACTATCTTTGGGTCGCCAGCCCCCAAATAATGACACAGAGACTGAGTAATGATGAAAGCTTGGCCATTCGCTTAGGCTTTTCCCCAACTAGCTCTTATAGCTTAAATTAACCCATTTATATTAATCTATGTTCTGTCAAGTGGCATTACCTCATCTCTGTACTGTCTCTCCTTGCAGTCCAAAATTGAAGACATCAGATTAAATCAAGAAAAAGAAGCTGAAGAACTGATCCGGCTTCACTTCAAGATGGAACAGATTGTCTACTGCCAGGACCAAGTTTACAGAGGAGCCTTGAAGAAGGTCAGAGAGACGGATGCCGAGAAAGAGAAGACTAAGGTTCAACCAGCTACCTTTCTCTATAACTCTGAACTTCTTCAAAAGGACCTGTCTACCACTGAGATGACCCAGCACCTGAATGCCTACTACGAGGTAAGTGTGGGAATGACCCAGAGTTGGGCTTCCAGGTCATGCCCTCTCCTCAGTGCACATTTCTGTGTAGGGGTTATGTGTGTAAAGAATCCACCAGCAGGGATTCCTTCCTCACAGGGAACCTTAGCTGATCCCCAGAGCCCTCAGTCACAAAGGGGTTACCTCCCAGGCTCAGCTGGTAGTCTCCATAAACCACTTCCATGGCACTAGTCCCAGAAAGACCCAGCTCAGTAGTGGGAGGGCTATTTTCCCAGCCCTGCATTGGTTGTATTTTAAACAGACTTTGTCTTTCTGGGGTTCTAGCAAAGTTCCTAGGATCTTCTTGTGCATCTTAAGTCACTTCAGATATTTATTAACATATTTTTTTAAAGGTGGGATCTCATTTTGTAGCCTAGGCTGCTTTAGAGCTCACAAGGTCCAGGGTGGCCCCAAACTCCCAGGGTGGAATGCCCTCCCACCTCAGACTCCAGAGTGCTTCATAATGTCATTATACCTCTGACATACCTGGATTCTTAGCCTTCAGCATCAAGCAGGCTCAGGCATTGGCATGTGTCCTTGGAGGATGTTCTGGACCTTACTCTGAAAGGCCCTCTGACCTGTACACTGTGTTTCCTAGGCACTGTGCTGCTCCAGTGGTGGCCCTGCAGTATGTTAGGGGCAGTGTGTTCCCTTGGCATAGCTCCTGTGTCTAGTGCACCATGCAGTTTGGCCTCTTGGCACCCCATGGCTTACTTATCTTCTTTGCTTTAATTCTGGTAAAGCATGCACTTCAACTACTGCTAGGTGTAATAATTTAGACATTGGATACCTTTATATTGACACCAGGCCCTCCCAGGACTTTTCATCTGCCACAAACAACATTATCTCCATTAAATACTGACTCTAGTTCTCCCCAAACCCCAGCTACCACCTTTCTACTTTCTATCTGGGGGCATGACCACTCCCAGGGACCTCCTTCTAGTGTAATCACATCACAGAGCATCTGTCCTTCCTGCTTGGCTTATTTCTCAGAACATAATGTCGAGGTCCCTGAATGTTGTAGAGGAAGTGAGGGGTCTTTGTCTGCAGGTATCAGCCTTTCTTTACAGAGATCTGCCATGTGGAGATGCAGATGTGTAATGTGAGGTTTCTCTGTGCTATCTGTGGATCATCTTCGGGCTCATTTTACCACTTTCAATTGAGTCCATTCATGTTGCGGAGTTCTTCTCACCAGCCTGGTCCTACAGCCTCGCCAGTTCCAAATGAACACCCAGACAAGAGTTATAAAACTCTTGGCCAGTGACTAGGGCTTCTTATTGCCTGGCTCTGTCTGAATTGTTAACCCATTTCTATTAATCTAAGTATTTCATGTGGTCTCTTTACCAGAGAACACCTGGTGCCTGGTAAAGTCCTCTCTTCCCAGTATCACATCAGGAATCCTTTCTGCCTACACTTCCCAGAATTCTCCTCATCTCCTAGACCCGCCTGTCTTACTGCCTTACTGGCCACTAGCCACACAGTGTTTTATTCATCAATCAATAAGAGAATATATATACAGTAGGACTTCCCCCATCACATCCATTTGATGGGATGGCCAGGGAAGCTGGTAGGGCAGAGTCCCAACAAACTGATACCTGCCCAGGCCATGCTCTGCTTGTATGCTAAAGAGGGTGAGACCAGGCCAGTACTGTGTACCTGTTAGGGTCTCCCCCTTGGAAACCTGGTTCCCTCTGGCACTCACTGTTGTTCTTTTGTTTAAATTTAAAAATTAGAAAGTTGCGAGATAGAAACCGGGCACGATGGAACACGAACCATACAGAGTACATTAACTAGTTTATTACAGGGCGGGAGAAGGAGAGCGTGAGAGGGAGAGACAGAGAGAGAGGGTAAGAGAGAGACAGGAAGGTAAGAGAGAGAGTGTGTAAGAGGAAGAGGAAGAAGAGACGAAGAGGAAGGGAAAAGAGGGGCGACCATCTGGAGATGCTCACTTAAAAGGGGGAGCTCGAACATGTGTACTGAGACCTTAGGCAGCCCCATGATGAGTGAAGTAGCAATGATGTGGCCACGCCCTTGTGCGTGCCCTGCCTGGTGTGTGTGTGTGTGTGTGTGTGTGTGTGGGTGTGTGTGTGGGTGTGTGTGTCTGTCTGTCTGTCTGTCTGTCTGTCTGTCTGTCTCTTAAAAGGATACTTTGCACCTGGGCTGACCGGTACTGCCTGAGTGCATTCTGCCAGGTAACAGGGGCGGGCCAGCATGATGCCTGAACCTTTCACTCACAGCTCTTTATTTCCACTTTCAACCCCTCTGCGACCTGCCCCTGCTTCTAGGAGTGCAGAAGGAGCCTCGGGAGACAGATCCCTCTGATCATCCAGTACTTTATGCTGCAAAGATTTGGGGAAGAGATAGAGAAAGCCATGCTTCAGCTCTTACAGGACAAGGTTAACTGTAGCCGGCTCTTGGCTGAGCGGAAAGACACCACAGAGAAGAGGAAGTTCCTGAAGAGGCGGCTTTCAAGGCTGGACCAGGCTTGGCACAAGCTTGCCAAATTCTCCTACTGATCAAGCTTTCAAGCCTGCCCTGCATATCTGTGGCATGGCGTGGACCAAGGGTTGCTTTGAGGGAAAAATATCTCAGCCCACACTCTATCAGTTGTACCCCTTTAATGTTGTATAGTCTGAACCTTTTACTTGTTACCATTTAGAGTTAGCAAATTAAAAACAAACAAACAAACAAACCTCCCAAACCCTTTCATTTTTCCCCTTCAATCACTGCATGGGGCTGAGACAATAGATCTAGCAGTGAGACAAACCTTAAAATAAGTCCGTGTCTGTCCATGCACATATGTGTGTGTCTGTGTTTCTCCGTGTGTGTGTCTGTGTTGTGTAGGTTGAAGAACAACCTCGGGTGTCAATCTGCTTTTTGAGCAGGATCTCTCACTGGCCTCGAACTTCCCCACACAGCCCTGCTTGCTAACCCCTAGCCTCCAGATCTCTTGTCTCTGCCTCCCATCTCACTGTCACTGGGATAGCAGATATGTGTCACTGTGCCTGGCTTTGTATGTGAGTTCTGGGTATTTGAACTCAGGTCCCTGTGTTTGTAACACTCATCCATCTCTCTAGTCCTAAAAAATGGTGTTTTTAAAAAATTATGGACCATATCACTGAAAGTGAGAACCTAGAGACTTGAGAACATCCTTCTGGGTCCCAATTTTCTTTCTAGCATGACGGTCAAGCACAAATGTACGTAGAGAATTTAAAGATAAAACTTGATTTAGAAATCTGTAACAGTCTGGGCAAGACCTGTCAGCAGAGTGGAAGGATAGACATTTGATAAAGCTGTCTGGGAAAGCTACATAAATTTAAAAATAACTAAGAATCGGTCCGTCCACAAAGCTTCTCAACAGCTCCACCTAGTGACAGACATGTGAAATCACACCTGCAAAGACACCAAAATAAAACCCGAAGGGAAGTGTCTCCCTGGCGATTAAAAAACAGCATCCTGGGTGTTTCTAGGCTCACTGATGCCTGGAAAGGTTTTGCTTATATTTTGAGATAGGATCTCACAATGTAGCCCAGCTGGTTTTGAACTCACAATCCTTCTGTCACAGCCACAGCCTCCCTTGTTGAGTACTGAAGCATACCACTGTACTAGTTTAAATGGTGTTTGAATGCTTTGAAAAATTTTCCATTTCCTCCTCTTGAGGACAGTGTTAATAAGGGTGTACAGTCATGGAAGAGCCTATATTGTGCACCTCTCATGTCACATACAGGGTATGGATGTGTGTGCATATGGGCAGCTATGTTTGCCTCTCTGTGGGGCCAGGGCTCAACTTTAGGTATCTTTCTCTATTGCTCCCACCTTACTTTGTGAGACAGTCTCTTACCAAACTTGGAGTTTGTCCTTCTAGTTAAACAGGCTGGCCAGAGAGCCCAGAGAATCCACTTGTCTCTATCCTCACAGTCCCCCAGCCCTGGGGTTAGAGATGTTTGTATTTTCACACCTGGCTTTTTACATGGGTGCTAGAGATTCAAACTCAGCCCTCACGTTTGCATAGCAAGTACTTCACCCACTGACCTATCTTCCTGGCTCCTGGAGAGCCTGTTTTAGGAAACTAAATCACAGTTCACAGATGTTTGGTTTGCTGAGTACTTCAGCTTCTCCTCAGAGGGGTCTTCTCCAAGGCTGGACCATACAGATGGTAATGCACGTCGATGTGGCTCAGGATGTGGGAGCATTTTAGAGATGATCAAGGGGAGGGGGGAGGGGACACACCAGGGCAAACACTGTGGCCTTGCATCTTTATAGCGGGTTTTCAGGTTCTGGGGGGCCACCTCTCCTCTCATTCTGGCATGCTCTCCCTTTCAATCACTGGGCATGGGCCCTCCTTCCACTCACTGTATCATTGGTCTTTTCCAGAGACCCATAGTATGGAAGGGGTAGAAATAATGGCTGTGACCTGCAGGAACTCCAGAGCTGAGACCTAAGAGGCATGGCATGAGGTTAAAGAAACAGTTCTGAACTTAACAAATGGAAAGCATTGTTTATTCAGACCAAGTCAGACAATCTCACTCCTTGTCAGTGATATACATCTTTGTGGGATGGGCAAGTACAAAAATAAGATTATTCTAGAAAACTCCAGGTTTGGAGGGCCCAGTCATCAAGTGGGTGCTTGTCAGTAGCCAGGAAGCCACTTAGTGGCACAGATGTCTCTCTGTTCCACACATTATCGTAACCACAGGTTGATTTGTAATCAGTCAGTGCCCAGACTCAGAACCACAAATGGAGATTCCCATCATCCAATCAGAAGCATCTTCAGAAATACAATTTATACCCCAGAACCCTGTATGAAAATGTGCAAAAAAGAAATGAGAGCTACATAAAATTCATTTTGCAAAGCACTATTTCCTGCCCCTTCTAGAATTCAGTAGAAGGCTTGGATCATGTATTTGTTTGTTTATTTATAGACAAGGTCTCACCATGTAATTCTGGGTGGCCTGGGACTCACTGTGTACACTAGGCTGGCATTGACCTCACAGAGATCTACTTGCCTCTGCCTCCCAAGTGCTGGGATTAAAGGCATGTGCCACCATGTTCATGGCTTAGAGCTCATGAACTAGGAGACATGGGTGGCCCATTCGGTGCATCTTAAACCTTAGGATACTAAACTATGCAGACGAACTGAGGTAGTAGGAAAAAGCCTTTTTAAACTCCACAACTTTAGCTTTCACTAGAACTCAAGAACCCCACCTAGATATGTCTGTCGTTGTTTTTCTTCTCTTTTCTTTTTCTTTTTTCTTTCTTTTTTTTGGGGGGGGGGTTCGAGACAGGGTTTCTCTGTGTAGCTTTGGAGCCTATCCTGGCACTCTCTCTGGAGACCAGGCTGGCCTCGAACTCACAGAGATCCACCTGCCTCTGTCTCCCGAGTGCTGGGATTAAAGACATGCACCACCAATGCCCGGCCTGCTTTTCTTTTCTTTTTATCTCTGAAAGGGGTTACTCAATGCTCTCTTAACACTGCATTCTTCATTCAGCAGTACCCACTCTGGCAATGTGGGGGCCCCTGTGAGTTTTCTTCCCCAGGTAGAATGCCACAGCTTACTTATCTCAGAAGGTTCTAGCAATGTCCATAAAGAACAATGAGCAGAAAACAGCAAGCCCAGCCCCCTCCTCTGATCTGTGCACCTGTTGTGAATACTAACTATCTAATTCCCACCCCACCAAAGAAGACCCTGCAGAGAGACTCCAGTGTTGAAGCAGGTGGGGCTGTGCAGGGGGCTCTGGGTCAGTCTCCTTTTACAGACACCGATGTGAACATAACTGCTCAGCTGAAGTGAGGGCTGGCCATGCCTCTATCAGCTGCAGTTATGAAGCATATGGGTAAAAACTCATGTTGGCTGTGTGCTCTACTCTGACTGATGTGTGGGGCACACCATGTGCTACAGCTTAGACCATCCCAGTTGGTGTCACACAAATAAATCTCCGTTTGTAAATGGTGGTCTGTGTGCCTGACTCTACCATTCCTAAATGGATTACTTAATGTCCTCCTCTTTCTGGCTGTCACTGGGATACTAATACAATTGAAGGCTTGGTCAAGGAACACAGAATCCCTGACAGGGGTTTGAATTTATGGTCCAGCCTTCACCTACCATCTTCTCTTTAAGAGTAACTGTACTGTAAAAACTATAGGGCACAGTTAAATTTAGAAACATAGGCTATCTGACTATAACAACTGATGCAAAATCCAAAGTAAGCTTTGCGGGTTAGGAGGAAAAATCACTGCCCTTTGTGGATGACATTGTAAGTGCTCACCCACCCCTAATGAATTTCTCATTCATGAGCTTTGTAGACACATGGGTGTCACCAGGAGGATTGGCTTGGTTTTCAAAATCTTTAGCAGCCTGGCAACTGCTTCAGTTCCCTCTGACCCAGTGTGGTTGCCCAGACTGTAATGCAGATGCTCAGGTTCACCACGCAGACTCTGAATAAGACTGGGTACTTCTGCACCCTGAGATCCATGAGACCTACTCCTGTAAAAGACCAGGGCCACTGAAGACCTGGCACAAAGCCGACAACAGCAGGAGGGAGCTCCGTCCACTCAAGCTCTTCTCTCTGGCTATGCCCCTGATGGAAGCCATCCCTGAAGGAATATGGCCATGATCTGATGGCTTTTAAAGTGGGTGGGTAGCCCATTAGTGCTTGCTATTATGGAATTGTCCAACCTCAGTTGTCAGGAGACCTTCCTGCAAATACAGTCCCCCAAAATAACTTGGTGAAGTCAGTGCAGCCTGAGTAACTTTCCCTTGCCAGGGTCCTGCTCTGGAACCCAGGCATTTCTGGTCTTTCTGAATAGACATCTTCTAAACATATAAATGGCCCTCTGTTAAATGTTCAGTGGCCAATGATCAACTTGAACGGTTTCTTTTGGAAATTCCTAAAATGTAGGCCATGCTGAAAAACCGGTGTACAGTGGGTTGTCCACATTGTCTGGAGAGATGCCAGCTTTCTAGACCATCCAGGAACTACAGACTGAGATGGGAGTACGTCTCTATCCTGACTCCTTCAGTCCTTGTCCCCCTCTAAGAGTCTAGACTTTATCAACTCCCAGTCATCCTTAACTCTTTACTGATGGAATTGACCAACCCATATTTGGCTCAGGCAACATGCAGGCTACCGGCCTCCCACATACCTTCTTTGTCAAGAATGACTTCAATGTTTGATCCCTCACTGGTTGGGGATGGGGGGAGGCGGTGGTAGCTCCATAAAAGAAACAACACCTCTGACAGAGTAAGCAATTTTGAGGGTGAAAGAAAGCGAATACCTAGAATTGAAACACACTTTTCAACAGCTTTAACCTTCCCTTATTCCGTGAGCTTGTTTTAATCACATTATGGCTCTCTCATCTAACCGTCTCAAACTGCTTTGCTGCCAAGTTCAGGTCTGCAATTCTTAAAACTTACCGAAGACCACATATTCATGTGGACTTTCCTGGGAGTAAATACCTACAGTTTTGTGTGGCGTTTAGTTGCTTTTCCTTAGAAAATAGTGATTATTTTTTCCCCTGTAAATGTGCCAATAATCAATTCTAGTAAGTTCATGCAAAAGAAAACACACTGGGATGCTGTCCAGCTATTTGGTTTCTACTAATAAATATAAGGTCTGTGAAATTCAACTATCCTTGGCTGTGGAACAGATTTCTGGATAGTGGTCTATTCCTGGGGAGGAAGCTGGAACTCAAAACCCAACCAGGCATAGCTGTTCCACCAGACCAATTTAGCAAATCCCCGTTCTTAATTAACTCATTAAGTAGTCCCTCCCCACCTTTTAATTAAGAGAATGGGATCCACTTTAGTAAATCTCGTCCTCAAAGCTCCATGGGGTCCTTACTACTGCTTTCTGGAAATTACTTGACTTTCATACTTTTCTGACCCAAGTGTGTCTCTAACCCAAACCTCTGGGTTTCAGGACCAGCTGGATAAATTCTTTCCAAAAATGCTCAGACTTGGGATGTACCTGGAAGAACACATCCCATAGTCATGTGCAGCACATCTGTCTCTTTAAGTCCAGGCACTTGTTTCTGGCTCAAAAAAGATGCAAGAAAATGCAGTTCATACCAGGAGATTGGACACAGATCACGGGCAGCTCTCAATGCAGGGAGATAGATCCATCTTATTTCTTGCTGTTGTTTGGAAAATAACATTAGCTACCTGAAGGCGGGATTTATTTCCAGACTTCTGTTTTTTCAAGACAGGGTTTCTCTGTGTAGCCCTGGCTGTCCTGGAACTCACTAATGCAGATCAAGCTGGCCTCAAACTCACAAAGATCGGCAGGGATCAGACCTCCTGAGTGCCGGCATCAAAGGGGTATACACCATTACCACCCAGCTAATTCCATACTTCTAAATAATTTGTCAGGAAGAGAACATTAACTTATTTAAAACAATTGTTTACATCAAAGTGAAGCCTCGTTTCTCATCAGAGCTGGCAGGTTTAGGACAAACTGATGCAAAGCTGCATCTTGGGGGGGAGGGGAATCCCTATTTGCCAGTGTTTTCCTCATCCTATTAGAAGTAAAACTGAGACTCTCAAAAGGGTGCTACTTCAATTCCTGTTTGAGGCAAACCTTCCTGAAAGTCTGCCAAGTGAAGTCTCAATTTGCAGAACTGGAGAAGGTGGGCGTCACCACAGTTTTGAATTCAAAGGCAGTACATGCCAGGAAAATGTCCCAAATTCAACCGTCTACTTCATTCTGGTTGCTAAGCTAGGCTTTTGTAACTTAAGTATACCCATTAAAATGTCACACCCAGTGGTATCTCAGATACAAAGATAGATACATTTGATATGAAATATAGAAAATAGCAATACTCTTCCACCTTCCTGAACACCCTGCTTGTTGGCGTCCTGGACTGTGATATGGGCACCCACTAACCTGGTGTGGCAGGGACCTTCCACACTTCAGAACCTGGACCCAATACAAAGGATCAGATATTGTGAGTGTGAAAACTCTGTCTGTATCAGGGAGTCACAGTCCTCACTGCACAGGGAAGCGGGGCAGAGTCTGGGGGAACCTGGTTCATTTCCACGAAAACCTGCCTAGCAGACAGGAATCAATGGGAAAAAAATCAACATGAGATCAGAATCCCACTTCTGGAGATTTCTAACCCTGCAACACATCTTGGAATTACTATCAGCCAGCGCAGGCCCGACACATCCTCAAGCATGTGAGAACACAGTGCTGACCCTGCTTCTATTTGAACTTCCTCCTGCAACAGCTCAACTCCTCTCCCACAAGAATCTCACAGAAGGTTCCTCTGGCTACTTGGGAGTTTTCCAGTTCACTGCAACATGCCTGGATGGCTCCTGTATGTCCTTGGCACAGCCATGTATTTCTCAATATGGAGGTGACGGGGTGAGCGGCACAGATGGCTGAGACATCCGCACAAGGTCTGTTGTCAACACCAAAGGTGCTCCTGCTGAAGGGGATGCTTAGCACTCTGGGAGGAATGTTTTTTAAATCCAACCCATCCCAGAGGCAGCACAAAGTGAACACTGAACTTGGCACAGGAATGGGGTTGGTTGGGGGCAAGACTTGCTTTGCCTGGCAATTATGTCCCATCGTGAACCAGTGGCCGCATGCAGTTACAGGCTTCACTTTTCTTTGGCAAAGGCCTCAAACGGCAGTAAATACAGACACTGGTGATCCCCCATTGCCAAGGCTTTAACTCCCCCAGAGGGAAGAACCAAACCACACAGGTCATCTGCCAGTCAGGTGCCTTAAAGTTGCCTTGGATGGTACACTTGGGCCCCAGGCATTTTACAAAGGGAAGCACATGGCTTCAAAGGACTCAAAAAAAGTGAAACAGCTCCAAGTCACGAGTCTTCCTTCCCTGACAGCTGGTCAGAAGCACGGGCATCTGGCCATGTCTCCATTTCCCAGATCAGTAATTACCAACTTAGTTTCAGAGAAGATTTGGAGAAAAGAAACAATTACAGGGGCAGAGAAAGAGGAGAGTTTGTTTTCCTCATTAAAGCATAATTAATTAACTTGAGATCCAAGAAGTGTATGTGACCATGACCAGCTTGGTGACAGAATGTCAAGAGTGGCATGCAGCTCAGCACCTGTTCTGCCTCACCTATGGGCCAGGGCAATGGTGGGAATCAGGCTGCCTGCACCCCACCCAAGTCACACAAGAGACATCTTTACCTTCATGCCAGAGACACCACAAGCATTTTATGAAAACTCCATCCTACTCTACCTAGATGGGCAAAAGATCTTCCCCGTGGCAAGGTCTTGTGTGGGGTGTGATCTGTGTGTCAATTCTCATTCCCTGTGTGAAGTCCAAGACCTACCCAAGGGCCTGCATGCAGTTGAGCTTTGAAGAAGGCTGAGGGATTCTCTCTTCAGGTGCAAGGCTGCTCCTCCTGCTAGGATATTGAAAGCCTTTTCATTTGTTCTGGACCAGACAGTAGTCTGACGAATACCTTCTAATATGGTCATACCAAAACTACCAACTGAATGCACTCATTTTTCCTGAGGTTGAAAAAGGGATGATAAGTAACCAAGGATGGCCCATTTCTGTCTTTTTTTTTTTTAATTTTTGGTGGTATACTGGGCAGTTTGGCATAACCAGTCTCATAAAGCCTGAAGCCCAATGCACTGTTTTGGCTCACAATGAGTTTTTTTTTATTATTATTATCATTTCCTTCTGAAGTAGAAAAGATTTGGAAGCTTAGAAATCAAGAGTAATCAAGACACAGTGAGTCTAAAAGGCATTGAGATACACAGCCCAGATTCCAGAGGATCGGACAGAGAAGCCCACTGGAAACATCCCTCTTGGAAGAGCTGAGTTCAAGGCTGCTGGAGTTCAGATGAGGTTCTTCATTTCCAGCGATGTCTGACCAGTGAGGACTCATCATTAACGACCTCAGGGTCTCGGGGAGCATGTCGGCAGCGCACCGGGAGCAGCAGCAGGAGGATCAGAACAAGGAGGATGGCTCCACACACGCTCATCAGGGCATAGGACACAATCCACAAGATGGGCTCATTCAGAGCTGGTGCTGGGACACAGTTGCTGGCTACATCTTCAGTGGAAAAGGGCCCGGAGATTTCTGACACTGTGGTACCTTCGATCTCTGAGGAGACAGAAGGGTTTAACGATAACGCTTTCTGCCAGCTAATGTTAAAACCCTTCTTTTTATTTAGACAGAAAAGAGGAGATGATGGGGGAGGTCCTTCTGTGTATATGTTTGTCTTATTGGTTGATAAGTTAAGCACTGTTGGCCAATAGGGAAGCAAGTTAGGCGGGACTAGGAGAGAAGGAGGATTCTGGGAAATGTAGGAAAGAGGAGAGTCACCATGTGATCCCAGGAAGAGAGGATACATAAGGCCATCGCCCTCGGTAAGATAAGTCCTTATAAAAATATATAGATTAGTAGTTATGGTTTATAATTAAGACTGAGCTAGCAAATAAGAAATCCTAGTCATTGGCCAGCAGCATTGTAACTAATATAAGACTCTGTATGCTATTTGGGGGCCCTAAAGCAGCAGCAGAACCCAGGCAGTTGGCGGAAAGGGTTATCATTACAGAAGGGGAAAGGCCTCAGATGTGACTCAAGAAGCCGCACTGGCAGTGGGCACTGAACTCATGGCTGGTGACACTCAGGCCCCAGCAGCTTGGATTTTGAGCAGGCACTCAGGGAAGGCCCAGGGGCAGTGTGCCCTCTGGTGTTCAGGCTCCTCAGTATGTTCTGCTGCACCTGCAAGGTGGGGAACTGTGCAGAAGCAAACACAGCTGGTGCTCCCTAGGAATGTTCACACTCCATTGGTGATAGCACATTGGCCAGTGCCTTGAGGTACCACTGGGGCTGTGGTGTTCCTCAGGAGAGAAGACGAAGAAGTGGAAAGCTCAGCAGAAGCTGCCTGGGATGGTTGTGGGAGGGGCCTCTTGGTAACATTAATTTGACCCCATGTAACACTTAGTGAGACCAACCTAGTCTTTTTGGTATTTTGTTCATTTGGTTTTCTTCCATCAGGGGTCTCACTCTATAGCCCATGCTAGACTGGAACTTGCTATGTAGTTCAGGCTACCCTTGAACTTATGGCAGTCCCCCATTTCGGCCTCCTGAGTGCTGCTGGTATTACAGGTGCATCACCACACCCAGCCCAACTCACTCTTAGTGGCTCCAAGACTTTCGCACTGGCTTAGGAGGGTCCACTTCCCCATCCTCCTATGTTATATCTGAAGGACCATGAGCCCAAAGTGATCAATTATCAAACATCTGGCTTGTGGTATAAATGGTGACATAGAAGCACAGAATGCCATAATGGTTTTTGCTAAAGATCCTAGTGTCAGAACACAGTCTTATGAGTAAAGGCATGTGAAGATATTTCTGAGACCTTTTGAGAAAACTCTACTTAGACAAGAGTCTAGTAACCTCTGCTCCTCCATAACATGGGAGGTTCTTGGAACGTGCTTTCCTGCCCCTCCCAGGTGTGAAGAGGGGTGGGCTTACATCAGATTACCCACCATTTCACCCATTATTCAGAATGACCTGTGACCGTGTATGGTCTAAACTTATTAGACCTGCCCTTGTGACTGCATACAACCTGAACTCAAGTGAACTTTGCTCACATGACCTTGCTTAATTCTCAGAATACCCTCAGAACACAAATTGAGGCCCAGAATAAAGCTGGCTGCTGCATGAGACTTTAATCCTCCTCATTCTATGCTCCACCCTCCCAGATTCACTCTGCCAAATAGAGCAGCAACACCCTGGGAGAAGCTGGAAGGCGTTTTGGAAGCAGGCATAAGATAAGGGTGAGGTGGAGCACTGGGCTTGCTTCTCCTTCTGGGACTCTAGTATCCTAAGACTTTACTTAGGGGCGGAGGAAAGTGAAATAGAAGGTCCTCCTGACCACTCTCAGTTTTTGACCGCAGCCCAAGACTTCCAATCTTGCCAAATATGAACTTTTCCACTTGAGGAGGAAAACAGTCAAAATGACAGTGAGATAATGGTCTTCAAAGAATGCCTTCGAAGGAAGAAGAAATGACGTGGTTCCTAACCCTAACCCTTTCTGGCCTGTGTAGACTCCATGATAACAGCTTTTTTCTTTTTTCTTTCTTTTTTTTTTTTTTTTTAAAAAAAAAGCACCTGAGAAGAAAAATCAGTGAACACAGCTCTGCCAACACCCAAGCATGGTGGGATGCAGCCTCAGTTGATCCACACCCCCAGAAGCCCCAATGGGAGGGATGGGAAGGGGTGTCAGTCAGCACACAACACCCAGGGGCAAAGTCAACCTGTTAATTCCTTGTAAAAGTTGGTGTCTTCTGGTACCCAGCCACATCACTGTCCTGGATCACTCTTGGTTGGGCTACAGTGCTGGAATGGTGACCCAACCCCTCATCTGGTATGCAAAAGCTAAAGAATTCCCTGTCTACCTCTTTTTGGAGGAGTACCAAACTCTGTCCTATAGTATCCAAAGGCAAATGATCCCACTCCATAGCAGGAAGGTAATGCATATTTACAATAGAAACCTTGCAAACAGAGGGAAGCAAAACAGTCATAGATTCACTGGTCAGAACACTCAATACTGATATTGCTGAGTGTAACCATTTTCTATGATAAAACACATTATCATTAAGTCTTAAGTCCAACTATTTTGATGACTATGAAAAACGCCTTATTGTGGACATGCCAACTGATGTTTAATTTTGATTTTCAAGCTACATTACTTCTGAGCGGGAGAACTATTAGGGACTGGAGAAAGCAGGTCAGTAGTATGCTTTCTGGGCATGCAGGAGGCCCTGGATTCAATTCTCAGGATTGCAGGAGAAAAGAGAAGGAAGAACAGAAAAGAAGAGGAAAGGAAAGGAAAGAAAAAAAAGAGGAAAAATTTCATTGGCCATTTTTCACTCCTCTGTTCTCATGGATTTGCACAAACCTTTCAGATAGTAAAACCTTTCTGATAGTAACATCTTTCTTAGGTTGTGAATGTCTTTTCGAAGCAGGTCGTTTGTCTTTCTTCAAATTTACTTTGTAAATGAGATGTGCCAGCCCATACATGGAATGAAGAGAGCCCGCTCAGTGCACAGATGGCAGTGACAGTGTTGGAAGAATAGGTGAGTTAATGGATGTTAAATGTGTACACGGTGCCTGGGGTACAAGTTGGTGTTAGGTGCTAGCTGCTGTTACTATGTTGTTATTTTAATGGTTTTATCAGTGTCTTTGGTTAAAATTTTAATCGTGTGTTTTCTCTGTTGTTCCTAGAAGGCCACGGCCTGGTTGATAATAAACACTTGGGAAGACATATCATTTTACTAAGGATGATGAGTATGCTAGTCAGATCTCCTTCTCCCCCCCATGACACAAAATGAAACAAAGTGCCCACCACCAAACTGAATATCTGTGAGGAAGACACTCTGTGCAGATGCCTGGTTTAATTGGAAGAATACTCTGCAGTGTGTGTGTGTGTGGGGGGGGGTCAGAAGTCAATCTCAAGTGTCACTCCTTAAGAGCCCTCCATATCTTACCCTCTCACTGGGATCTTTGGCTTATCAGTGTCAATGGGCTGGCTGATCACTACACTTCAGGAGTTCTCTTGTCCTTCCCACCCCTCCCCAGAGCTGGAATTACAGGTGCACACCACTATATCTGCTTTTCACATGGGGGTTGAGGATTGAACTCACATTCTCATGCTTGTGTGGCAAGCACTTTACTGGGTGAGCCATCTCCTAAGCCCTTGGGCCAATATTCTCTGTAGTAGGTGTGAAAGGCACAGACCATCCACAGGGCTCAGGGTTTTCATCTATACAATGTGGAGCTGAGGGGCCTGGCCCATGGCTTTATGGTTCTCAGCTTTGGTGTCTTTGACAATATTCTAAGTAGATAAGCACAGGCATATCGCTAAAGGCTCATCTTCACACTACTCTCTCTATTTTTAAACATGAGCTGTACCAGATGATCCACTTTTCAACCTGCACCAAGAAAAATTCCATGGAATGACTGCCACAATCTACGATGTGTTTCAAGTTGTATGAGTTGCAATCTATATAGCTCTTGGGTGCTAAATGTCTCATTCTATAAAAAGAGATGGATGGTATTTCAGAAGCCCCGGAGGCATTAAGACACCAGAGCTGTCAATTTAACACCATTATTATCATCTGTTTAGCTGCAGATGCTTGGACAAGGCAACATGGAGACAGCTAAAGGGGCTCCTGTACCCAGAGTATCTGTTTAGGGATATGACAAAGACTTGGGAGGATCAGTTCCACATTGCCCCACAGTCTGCATCTAATTTGCATGGCTCTTCTTGGGTTGGGGTTCCCAGCAGGATGGGGGGTTAGAACTGGCACAGACAGCAGAAGAAAGCTGTCTTGGGAAAGGCTCAGATGAAAAGTGTTGGCTGAGCAAGCATAAGGACCTGAATTTGATTCCTAGGACCAAAGAAACAAAAATGCCCTGTGTGGTGGCCTGCTATTATAATCCCAGTGCTGGGGAGACAGAGATAGGTGGATCCCTGGGGCTTGCTGAACAGCCAGCCTAACCTGTTTGTCGAGTTCCAGACCAAAGAGACCCTGTCTCAAAGAACAAGATGGAGAGTGACAGAGAAAGACACCTGCAGTTGACCTCTGACCTCCCATGCACATGGACCCATGTGCATATGCAACAGCACCCACACACACTGACATACAACCTCCAGCCCACATACACACAAAGAGAAAAGGAGACTGTCTGGGCACTTTACCCCCAGATCACCTTGCACCATTGCCACACTGATGTACTCCAGGAAAACAAGCCAGAAGTCCACAAAGTCAGTCTTGGAAAAGCTCTTGGAGTCCCAGGGACTCTGGCAAAGGGCTTCTGCTCACCGCTCCCCTACTGTAACCCTCAGTAAACCTATAAACTAAGAGCTGCCTGAAATTATAAAGCTGAAACAAAGGCACTGGGAAACAGTTGAAGCTTCTTTACGTCTTAATTCCACCAGTTTGGTTGGTTCTGTGGGGAACTTACCCCTGTTCCAACAGACAGGAGGCTGAAGCGCAGCTCCCACTGTTTACTCATCTAGTTAGTTACTGAGGATTGAACACTAGGCCTCGGATTTGCTAAGCATGCGTGACATCACTGAGCCATATTGTCCGTCTTGTTTGTGTTTTTTAAAGAGACAGTTTTGCAATGCCAAGGAGGCTAGCTCCAAACACCTGGCTTGAAGGATGCCCCTGCCTCAGCTTTTCAAATAGCAGAGATTATGGGTCTGGGCCAGTGTGCTCAGCTTACTCCCAGGTTTTAAACATGCAGCAGGCTGTAGAAGAGCCACTCCCTGACCCAAAGTTCACACGAGGGCTAGAGTCTCCATGCCTATGAAGGTTGGGCAATGCAGGGTGGCCGTGGGGACAGACCTTGGCCTCTATGGAAGATAAGTCTATGGACACAGTCTGCTAACACGTGAGGAGGAGAGACCACAGGACCTCACAAGATCTTCACCAAACCTTCCCCTGACCTTTCCCCAAGATTTCAAACCCCACTTCATTCTCTGCAGCCATAGGCAGTCTTGCAAGTACAAAAATATATACAAGGTAAAAGACCAACAAGGGTTGGGGCTTTTCCTTTCTTTCTTTTTCTTTCTTTGATTTATATCACCCTCACCTATTCCCTTCAATACCTTTCATGTGGCACTCCTCATATGTCTTCCTTCAGATCCGTGGCCTCTTTTTAAAAAAAATATTGTTGCATGTATACATAAATGAATGTGTGTGTGTGTGTGTGTGTGTGTGTGTGTGTGTGTGTGTGTGTGTGTGTGCGTGCGTGCACTTGCTGAGTTCATTTAGTGTTGTTCAGTGTTGTTCATATGTATCAGGGCTGACCAGTTGGGAGTGGATAATCTATCAGGGGGCTTGTCTCTGGAGAAGACTGATTCTCCCTCTGGGCAGTCACTAATCTCCTGTAACTCTTCATCTAGGGCTGTGGCCCTGTGGGGTTTTCCCCATCCACATTAGCTTTTCAATGGTGCCACTCCCATGGGTTGTCCATGCCTCTGTGAGCGACACCAATAAACTCATTAATGTACCATGTTGGACTTGATGGGCACTGCTTTGGTCTGTCTATCGATCCCCTCTCTATTTGGCATAGACATTTTCATGTCTCCCCTGGAAAGTCACACTGCAAAAAACTTGACCCCAAACACTGAAGAAGTGGGTCCTAGAGCCACAGTGCCTGTGAAAGTCTGACTCATCAGTGAAGAGTCCAAAAATTGACCATCAAGGGAACCTGGATGCCTGTGGTCTGAGGAAGGGCTGGGAGCAAAAGGAGGGTTCTCCACCTTCACCAAACCTGGCTGGACTCTGAACCGCCATCATCAGGGTAGAGGCCCTGAAGTTCTCATGAGTACCCAGTAGAGACTTAAACATCCCAAGAAACATTTTTAAGTTGAAATGCACCACAAGAAAAGTTTTAAAAACTTAAAACTGAGACATGAATCACAGCATTTTAGAAATTAATCACCCTTTGAGACTTTTATCAGGGAAACTGTTTACAGAAGAGAGAACACGGCTGTGCAATAAGCTGTTCACCCATTTCCTTTTGGGTTTGTATACTTGGATAAAGACGGCAGTTTAATAAGATTATGTAATTGTTCAGTGATATGTTGTTTTAATGTGTGTGTGTACAGACACCTGTGGAAGCCAGAACACAACATTAGAGCCTCCAGAGCTGAAATTACAGTTAACTGTGAGTCACCCTATGTGGGAACCAAACTCTAGTTTAGTGATAGAGTTGTAATTCTTTTCAAATTTTTTGCTATTTTTCTGTAAGGCTTATTAGATAATCTGGGTGGCATACTCAGACAATGTGAGATGACATAGCAGTTACAGTGAGCAGTAACACTATTTAGCAAAGAGATCAAGCTGACAAGGAACACACACATTGCCACAACAGTAACATAAATTGAAAAACAAACAAACAAACAAACAAGTGTGTTTTGATACAACCTGTTTTAGTTTTACCTCTGTTGCTGTGACAAACTGTCCTGACAAAAAGCAACTTAATGGAAGAATGGTTTCTTCTGCCACTATTTAGGGTCACAGTCCATTATTTTAGGGGGTTGAGGCAGAAATTTGAAGCACCTGGTCATATCATGTCCACAGTCAAGAGCAGAAAGAGAATAAATTCATGAATGTCTATTTGTATGTAATCCCCTTTCTATACTTCCCACCTTAATGTAATCAAGACAATTTCCCACAGATATGCCCCAAGACCATCCTGACCTAGAGAATCTCATGTGCATGCTCTCTTCTCTGGTGACTGCAGATTGTGTCAAGTTGACAATAAAAATGAGTCACCACCAATTCTACGGTAGACAGAATTTAAGATAAGATGCTGTTCCATTTGAGACCCATTTCCTGATATTTAGCCCATGTAGGCTCTTCTTCTACATGGCAGAACCAACAGAACATGGCACAAATAATAGCACTTATAACTGAAATTGGGCTACAGAAAGCCTTCAGCTTATGTCTTAAGGGTTTTGTGGCACCCTCTCATTCAGAGAGGGGCCAGGTACTATTCTGAGAACACTCATGCAAGCTGTGGTGATGCCCTCATAGTGACAAATGGGGCCTTTTGCTGACAACAGCATGTGTGAGCTTGGAAGCAGCACCTGCAGACGTAAGGTGGCTGCAGGTGGTGATCAGACTCAGAGCCAGATCCAGTCAGTTCAACCAATCTCCATGTCTGACTTTGAGAAACTGCACTAGGACCTACAGTAAAGAGCAGCCAAGTTCTGGGAAGGCTGTTAGGTGGAAACAGATGTCTAATGCAACATGCTTGCACCTGTCTGACGAAGGAATAGATGTGCAGTAAAGGAAAGAAGTACCCACACCAGCTGAGGGAAGGGTATTAGCCACATCTATGACAAGCTTTTGAAGGAAATATGACTAGAAAATTTATTAGATCGGACTTTCTGTAAGTGTGCACACCTTCTGCAGTGCTGGCCCTCCGGGGCTATGGGTCCTACATCTGTGAATTCAAGCAACCTTAGATGGAAAGTATTTGAAAATATGTGCCTGGATGCAGTCAGCTGTGTCCTCATTTATATGGTATTTGCACTGAATCATCTTACTAGAGATTTAGAGATGGTTTAAAGTATTTGGGTGGTGAGCACGGGCTACCTGTCTATACAGCACCATTTTATACACAGGGCTGAGCATCCATAGATACTGATACTTGAGAAGGGTCATGAGACCCATCTCCCAAGGGTACTGGGGAATGAAGGAATGCTTTCTAGAACTTAAAAGTATTATATAATTAAGAATGAAAATGATAAAGAAAGACAGAATGACTAGTCCATTTCTCACAGGGCTTCAGAGCTTGGCTGCTGTAACTGAAGCCCCCAGGGAAGGAATTGGCTCTGATAGCTAAATAATTTGTGTTGAACAGGAGACAGATACCAGGGTATCTTCTCACAGCTGGTGAAATCAAGTCTGTAAGTGACAAGGCCTTAAATATATTTTTTAAAACACCATTAAGGAAAAAAACTTATATTACAACATCAAATACAGTTCAGAGTGAAACCAATACAGTTGTGCTGCCCCACTGTGAAGCGATATGAAATCACATCCAGTGGTGGGCCTTTCAGACGACATGCTGCTATGGTACCCCTGCAGGGCTCTGTGTACCCAATGCCAGCTGCTGCAAAGGAAGCCCCCAGTTTAACAACACTTAATAAAGGAGCAAGAGCTGTGGGAAAGATAGTTTAGTTCTTAAGATTACCTTAAAATAAGTAAAATATCTGGAGTTGAGAATCCTATGACACCTCAGGCCACAGTCTCACACAGGAGACAGGGAAGGGTCTCACTGGCAACTGAACAAGATAGGTTACAGATGCCCCGAAGCTAAACACTTACTCATGGTGAGACTAAAAACATGAGGGGTGGGAAGCAGCCTAAGCGAGTAAAGTGTTCACTATGCACACATGGTTTGATCTCTCAAAGCCCATGTGAACAAAATGGGTGTGGTGGCAGGCACTTGCAATCCTAGCACCAAGAGGGGTAGAAACAGCTGGGTCCAGGGATTTATAGGTCAGGCAGTCCAGCTAAATTGCTGAATGCCTGGTCAATGGGAGACCCTGTCACAAAAAGCAAGATAGATAGCATCCTGAGGAGTGACAGCTATCCTCCACATGCATGTACACACATGTACACAGGTTCTGTCATAGACATATGTGCACCTGTATACACAGGAACACACAACCACACACACACACACACACACACACACACCACTGTACTACCACTACCAGACAAGGCATGAATTCCAAATCTCATACCAAGTCGGATAAGAAGTCACATGGTACATACCATGTATGTCTGGGCTGTGTGACTGTGTAGACTCAGTTATCCTTTTAGACCAGATGTAGTTTTTCCTTTTAACACCAACCTTTCATTATCCAGATGTCTACTACACCTTCAGAGGTACTGGTGCTCTCACAGAAGCTTACCTTAAACCTACTATGTGCTGCTTTGTTTTATTTGTCAACTTGTCACAATCTAGAGTCTCTGAGGGATTGCCTAAATCAGCCAGGCCAGTAGGCATATCTGTGGGAGACTGTCTGGGTCTCAACTGAGATGGGAAAACAGGCCCACTGTGAGTTACACAGTTGCCTAGAAAGGAGATTCTGAACTGTGCAAGAGTGGAGAAAGTGAGTTGTGCACTTGCATGGGTGCATGAATTCATCACTCTCCACTCACGACTGTGGTGGTTGTGATGTCACTAGCTGCTTCAAGCTCCTGCTGCCTTGATTTCCCCTCCATAGTGGACTATAACCTGGAATAGGGAGCCAAGTAAGCCCTTTCTTCTTAAGTTGGTTTTGTCAGGGTGCTTTATTACAGCAACAGGAAAGAAAGCTAAGGTAACCTTAAGCTTGTGATCTTCCTACCTTTATCTTCTGAGAGCTGAGGCTATAAACACGCTGTCATATCCATTTTATGCTGTACATCAAGGTAGGACTTGAACCTGGGCTTCCTGTACCCTAGGCAGGCACTTTACCCCGAGTTACATATCACATTCAACCCTTCAAACTTTTGATTTTTCTGAGACAGGTTCTAACTCAAATTCACTCAAGGCAATTATCCTGCCTCAGCCACCCTGAGTTCTGGGATTGTAGGCATGACCCACTACACTCAGGTTGCAAGCTTTTTCTCAGTCCCCTGAAAAACTATTTTGAAACCTTGCAGTCATCCTGACTACTGTCCCTGATACAGGCTCTCCTGCTCTATCTCCAGCAACTTAATCACATGCCTATATCTTCAGTGGCCTCTTCAGCAGCTTGGACTGCTTGTCACCAGTACCTAGTCTTCGATGGCACCCGGTGTTATGTGAGCCCTACTGGAGATGGCTTTCCTACTTTAGCAGCTTCCTTGCAGAGCTCCACTCAGGCCTCAGCTGGACTCGGCAGGGTAACTCTGCTGTGGCTTCTCACACTACTCCACCCAACGTGTTCTGAGACCATTACTCCTTGGTCTTATTATTTTAGGATTCTAAGAAACAGCTTCCACAGATCTCTACTTCTTATTTCCTAAAAAAGACCCAGATTTTCACGAATTCTTTCTTTTATTAATTTTGCATCAGCTGTCAAAACATTGTAATTCATGGCCTCGGAACACAGTTTAATGATGGGCATGTGCTCTGTCTGCTTGAGCCTCTGGGTTTCATTCCCAGAACCCCCAGAATGAAATCAAAATACAATACAGCAGCAAGGCTCATAGGCATTTTTATTTCTTGTGTGGCAAGTGATTTCAGTGCAACTACAATGACTCGCACTCTCCAGGAACCTGCTGTGTGCCTGAGCTAGAAAAGCTATATGTGTGTTGAGCTTGGTGGTGCCCCTGTAATCTCAGCTCAATGGGAGGCTGAGGCACAAGGACCTCAAGTTCAAAGCCTGCCTGAACAACTTACGAAGATGCAGTTTTAAAAAGTTAAGAAGCAAAGGGCTGAAGATATAGTTCACTGGTAGGTACTACCCTATCATGTATACATACCTGGGTTCAACTCCCAGACTCCCTCTCCCTCTCCCTCTCCCTCTCCCTCTCCCTCTCCCTCTCCCTCACACACACACACTTATGTGGGTCACCTCATTCCATCATTCAATAAGCCCAAGAACAATTTCATTGTTAGGATCTGGTCACTGGAAATGAGCTGGCTTGCCAGCACCTGGCAAGCCACTCTGGCTATTACAGGTGGGCACATTTATCAAGGGTCTCTTTTTAGGGAGTTCCTGTGCCACAAAAGCTACACTTACCTGCACAGGGACTTGCTGCAAAGCCCACTCTCTTCCGAGCTCTGTCAAAGACCACGTAGAAGCCCTCCATCACCGTAGCACCAATCACCAGTGCATTTGTGGAAGAGGAGATACCAAAACGGTAGCATTCATAATTGAGACCAGCTCCCATCATGGGCTGAATGTAGAGCTGTTTGTTGAAGAACCCAGGGAAAGACACAGGACAAAGTATGGATTAGACAAGAGCCTAAAACTGGAGGTCCCACTCTGCTCAGAGCCCCCCAAAGGCCAAGGGAGACAAAGACAATGATACTATCCCAGGCATCTGGGACATGAGATCAAAAGTGTCTCAAAGCAGGCCCCAGACCCTGCCAGGGCAGCACAACAGAGCCAACCCAGTTAGTGGAGGTATGGCTGAGCCAGCCCCAAGAATGTGAACATGGGACAGCTGTCCCTATTACCTGTCTGACTTGTGATAACACGGACAGAGGAGAGTCCCACCTTCCCACCCCTTGCCCATCAATACCTGAGGCACATGGTAGAGCTGGCCCTGTGGTTATAGGAGTGGGAGAGCTGGCCCTGACCCCCACCAGCTGCAACACTCAGGAGAGCAGGCACTACACCTTGCCAAGGCAGCACAATAGAGCTAACACTATTAGCGCAGGTATTGATGAGCCAGCCCCGAAATTTTGACCATGGGAGAGCTTTCTCCATTTCCCATCTAACAGACCAACCCTACCGCTGCCCAGGCCCATACCTAGGGTTATGACTTGGCTGCCCCATCATCCACCCCATCTATGATGTGCTGGAGCACATGAAGGGCCTGACCCACACCAAAGCTGCAGGATCTCCATAACATAGGGCAGCCTTGGGATTTTCAGGAAGAAATCCTAGTGGGGGCCCAGCATAGAACGTGTAGTGGAGACCAGGGGCCTGGAACCAGACCAATGACTCTGCAATGAACACTTGCAAGTAGAGATGTATGGGCAAAGGGGTATACAGTGTGACTTGTTGGTTTGCACCGCAGTTTCCATGATGAGATTTTTTAACTCCTTCCCTTTTTTCTTGCTTTATTTTCTTTTGTTTTTCTCTCTGTTATTTTATTTTGGGGGGTGGTGCAGGGGCAGAGGGCAGGTACAAAGGGGCGGGGAATGAATGGGATCAAGGTCCATGATGTGAAAAACACAGAATAAATAAAAAAAGAAGAAAAACATTTCTCAATAAACTTTTTTAAAAAAATTTTTATGCTTAATTTCAGTTGAGCGTATTTGTGCATGTGTCTGAGTGTGGGTTTGTGTGTATGAATGTAGTAGCTATCTTACACTATCAGTCTGTCAGCAAATACTGCCTCAAAGCAAGGAGTTAACTTACCTCTTCCTTGGCGTCTGGGGACCTTGTCCTAGAGAAGGGCCTTGGGAAATGTGTGTTAACTGAATGTGTGGGCTAAAGCTTGGCCAGTGTTAAATGGGGCACACAACTTCTAGAGAGGACCCACTTAGATCAGGGGAAGGTTTCCACAGTAACACCTTGACCCGAGGCTTTGGAGGTTGCCCAAGCATGTGCAGAATGCACCTCTCACCACCTCTGAAAGAATGAACTACACAGAAGAGAGATTACGCATCAAATCTGAAACAACTGACAGGCATGAATAAGTGGTCGGATGCCATCCAGGGTGTGTTTGTATCTTTTAGTTGGTCCTTTTGTGTGTGTGTCCCTTCCAGGAAGAACTCCAGATAAGGGGCTTGGGAGACAAAAGCAGGCAAACTTGAGTATAAGGCTAGTCTGGCATGCCCAATGAGACACTACCCCAAATAAATATTAAAGAATTACAGATCATACATTTTGCAACCTGTGAAACTCTTAATCTTGCTGAATCTCAGAAAAAAAAAAGAAAACATATTTGCCTACCTTAAACCAAAGTAGCATAAACAGACAGTATTTTGACTGAGAGCACATTCTCAAGGGTGTATGAAGAAACTCAGAATTTCCTGTTGGGCTAGAGGATGTTTTGAATTTAAAAAAAATGTGTGTGTGTGTGTGTGTGTGTGTGTGTGTGTGTGTGTGTGTGTGTACATGAGTGCATGCCCACCCAAAGCCCTGTCCAAAGATTATGGTGACAGGAACCTGAATCTGACTTCCCTAGATTTTAGGGAGGGAGAAATTTAGAGAAGTTTAGGCAGAGGCTTTGCCCTCCTGTGGCTATGCCTTGAGGCTGTGTGGCTCCCCACACTGAGAGGGGGGAGAATGTGTCCCTAGCCCTAGAATCTAGGTCTACTTCAGGCTCCTTTGGGTGACATCAGGGAGGGAAAAGGGCTAAGACCAGGGCTGTGTGGGGCTCTTTCCTCTTAGAACTCTACTGTCATCCATGCTATCTGATGACAGAAATGCCACTAACGTGACCCCAGACATGTGGTGAGCCCAACACATTCCAGATGCAAGCCAAGACAGGCCAGCCTATTCGCTGCTGACCAGGGCCTTATGAGGCAGACCTGCAGAGTCATGGACAAGCAGCAGCCACAGACACCTAGTCATGTATGAAATCTGATTTTGTGAGTTACATGTGAAAATAAGGAGAAGAGCACAAATCCAAGTTTGTACCTGTGGCAGAATAGTGATGCGGAAGGAGCGACTGGAGTTCTCATCTCTCAGGTAGATAGAGATCTTAGGGAAATATGCCCATGGCGTTTCAGAATTTGTCCAGCATGCCAGCTGGGCCCCTGTCCAGAAGCCATCAGAAAACTCTGGAATCTAGACAAAACAGATCCTGTGAGAAGCAGGGACTAGCCTGGTACATAACAGGAAACAGCTCTCTACTTTCCTGGTCCCAGCACTAGACACCCACGGGGATAAACAACATCTCATTTGGACAGAGTGACAGGGACATCAGTCTTCTGGAAGAGTGATGGTGATGACACAGTAATAATTATTAAAACTGCTAAGACACCCAGATCACTTCCTGGGATTAGGCACTGCTAAAACACTTGGCAAATGACTATGTCAGTCTTCCAACATGCCAACCTGTGTGGTAATGTTCCCTTGCACATTACTAGGGAGGGGACCACAGCATAGAGAAGTGTGACAACTTCCCCAAGGCCATAGGGCATCAGGCCTTTAGAAGAAAGGAAATTCCAAAAGCACCCATTGAAGTTTCATGTCTGTTGCTGTGATAAAATACCCAGACAAAAAGCAACTTAGGCTTTTTGTCTGAATTGTAAGAGACTGAGCTACTCCTCTTAGAATTCAGGATGCAGTTTGTCATAGCAAACAAAATGGTAGGAGCAACAAGCAACTAGTCACACTGAATTCACAGTTGAGAGCAGAGAGAAACTGGCTTGTGCTGTGCTGCCTGACTCCCTTCCCCCAGTTTTTTCTTCCCTTACGCAGTTCAGGCCCTGGCTAGGGAATGGTGCCACCCACAGTGGGCTGGGTGTTTCATATCAATAAACAATCTGGATAATCCTCATAGACATGCCCACAGGCCAACCTGATGTAGGTAATTATTTAATTGCAATTCTCTTCCTATGTCTACCTTGTGTCAATATGACAGTTAAAACTACCCATCACAGTGGTCTCTGTGATTTTCTGGGGTGTTGCCTGCCTCTGGCCTCCAGGGGTCCATTAGGCTAGTTGCTTCCTAATGCAGTAATCTTCCTAAACATCCCTCCTTAAGACCTCAGGCCAGACCCCAACTCATCCAGGAAGCCTCCCTGACTCCTGACTTAACACTAAAACAGTGTTCCAGCCCTCTCTCACTTGGCCTATCCCTGGGGAAGTTCATGGTAACAAATCTTGCTTCTTGGTGATTTGATCCTGTACTTGGACCTAGAACTTCTCAGGACAGTGTCCCCTGCCTGTGCCTGTGTATGTCTCACTATGTGGGCCCAACACCTACACACAGACAACACTGAAGAACGTGGAAAAAAAATGAGTGACACTCAGGATCAAAAGCAGGCCATCTGTGTCTTCTATCAAGAACAGGGAAGGTGTCATCACCCACTCACTTCTACCTGCAGCTGAACAAGCAGTCTCCTCAGACTTGTGCTATCTCAGCCTCGGGCCCTGGGCTGTGCCCGAGACACACGCTGGTGGAAGGAATGTGTCTGATAGAGCTACGGGGACATGTGGCCAAGGGGGTGGACTGTTACCAGTGGAGCTTCCCTAGCAAGAAGCTCCTGACAGGGAGTGAGAGAGAGGTGGTAGGCAGAGCCACAGCAAAGGTATTGACAGGAACCTGCCCACTGGATGCCAGTGGCAGGAAGAGAGGTGAGAGGAGGCTAGGGGAGAATCAAGTGCTGCTTAGGAACAGTCAAAGTCTGCGCTCACAAGCACTGCAGGCGTGACTGTGTGGACATGCATGCAGCTCATCTGTGCCCTGAGTTCTCTGAGCTCTAGAGGATGGCAAGGACGGAACCATTAGCAGATGGTGATGGGGGATGACATCATGAGATCGGGAGAAGCCAGGGCCAGGAGCCAGTCCTGAGAAACAGGCAACACCTACACCCCGAACACCAAAACGCCAGGTGGGTCCTGTGTGCAACAATGGCACACGCTAGGTGCCACCACCCACTCTCTGGGGGGCAGGAAGCCACCTGTTTATCCTCCCACACAGTAATGGTAGAACCATTAATGCCAGTGCTAATATACTTCTGTCTCTTCCAGGAGTGATGGATCCCCAACAGGTATCATAGGACCCTTTCCCTGATGAGCTTATCAGGATGGGGGCCTTAGCATTTTGCTGTATTTGACAGAGGTTAAGAGTGCCTGGGCCTCTCAGGAGTACCCAGTATTCCAGGGAAGCATATGACCAGCTCCACTGTGTAATGAAGAGTGAGTTCCAGAGATCCCACGCATGAGATCCAGAGGTATATGTTCTGCTCCTGAAAATATGCCCAGCAGTCTCCCCAGGGGTTGCTATATTCCAGCCTCAGGTTAGTTATCAAGTTGGAAGATATTTTGTATAGATGACACTTTGTGTAGATGCCAAGGAGGTGCTGGGCTGAGCCCAGTTGAGATGCCAGAGCTGGGATGGATAGAGCTTGGGGCTCCAGAAGACTCCTTTAAAACACAGACCTAGAAACCATTCCTTTCTACATCCTTCCTGAGCAACACAACAGAGGGACAGAGCTCCAGCTTTATAGTTCCTTCGAGTCCAGATCTAGCCCTCTGCTTAATTAGGAAAAACCCAGGCCAAGATCATGGGTTTCCATTAGCCCTGTAGGTAAAGGGTATCAATGCCAGAGGCCCTGCACTGTAAGGCAAAGAATACACACTACTAGAATATGCCCTACCCAAGGTTGACAATCTCCTGCCTCTCCTCCCTGATTCAGGTGCTGAGTGAAATCATGGGATAATTTTAGACACAGCAAACAAATGCCGTAAGCTCCTTGCCTCTGCCTCGTGGTTTATTTAAGTCATCAGATACTGAGATGAACTCAAGGTAGGAACCCATCACCCCTCCACTCACCTACCCAGGCTCATGTGAGGGCTGGCTGTGGCTCGATGCCTGAACAGCTGACACTCCTGTGGTCCCCGTGACTCTTGTAAATCCTTCAGAGCTCAGAATATAAAGCCTGAAGGCGCTCACACTACTCCCTCAGAGGACATACTTATATTTAAGCACTGGGCATATGCTCCTTATTTTAAGTAGGGTCTGATTTTAAGCAAGTATTCTAACTTTGCAGCATGGAAAGACTGACTTGGCATTTTTTTGGGGTGCAGCAGCTGTTGGCAAAGATACGGATTTGTTCTGATTTGGGCATGGCTGCTCAGGACCACTGCCTGATACTGGAAACCAAAACCTGTGCACACTTTCTTGCTGGATGCTCTTCCCATATGGACCCAGGTTTCTGCGATTTTGGGACAGAATAACGGAAGCCCCTCTTATTCCTGAATTTCTGCTGGAATCTGACATTACCTGCTTTCCTGTCAGTGGCTGGGATTTGGCCATTTTGGTCTCACTCCAGCCTCTTGCCAGACAAGGGGCACCCATGTGTCTCTGGGCACAGGGAGGTGTTAACATTGTAAAAACCAGTTACAAAAACTGTCAATATTAAGTTTGTATTTTAAGTACACCTCTGATGTTCATTTTCCTGTAAAAAAAGCAAAGATTTGGGGACAGAGCAATTGGACTCCTTAGTTAGCAGCTGATGGACTACCCCTTGCTCTGCCTGTCTTGAGCAAAGCAATTATCAGTCTAGCAGCCAGTTGGACTGCCCTTAACTAGTATCAGCCACGCAGAACATTCCACAGATGCCTTCAGACCACGCATGGATGGCAGGGACTGCCCACTACTAAAGACACTAAGCCAGGGCTGTTTGAAGCATTTACTACCAGACTTTTTGTTGTGACAAGCCTGGATGAACTCTAGATGATCCTGTAACCGCTCCACCTTAGCCAGGCAGGGAATAGTTTTCCTGGTAGTCTAGAAAAGGTATTGTTTGGACAGGTGCTAAGAGGCAAGGCTGTGATTGGTCCAAACAAATGGCTGTGATTGGTTCAGGGAAAATGTCTGTAAGTGGTCAAGCAAATGCTGTGATTGGCCTGAACACCCCATCTTGAACTATGCAAGTAGGCTGTTCCTGTTGAGGTTTACACAGGCAATCAGCTGGGAGACCCACTCTGGGGCTGCCTCCCTGGTGTTGCAGCCTTGGTGTCAATAAAAGGCCTCTTCCTAGAAGGTCTTTTTTGCTTACTTTTAGAAATGTGGGCCAAGCTAACATGGAGAGAGAGCAGCAGAGGGCAGCGCTAGCGACGTGGCAGAGTGAGAGGCAGCAGGGACAGCTGAGCAGTTGGTTGGCCAAGCTGTGTCAGCTGAAAGGAAACTGATGGCTTCATGAAAGAAGTGCTGGGTACCATAGCCTCCCAAGTAGCCCTTGACCAGTCACCCAGCCTAGCAGCCAAGCTATGAGAGAAGTCACGATGGAGAAGGGTAGAGATATACACAGGTAACAGATATAGATGACGGATGTAAATATATATAGAGAAACAATCTCAACAACCTCATGGATGGAAGCAGGGGGCCTCCCTGAGGGTTCCCTGCTACCAACTAAAGGAAACTGGGTGGGACTTAGTTTTACTTGGTATATACTGAATATGGAGTATTCCTCTGTTTGCTGGACTTCCGGGAAGTGATTCAGTACTTGGGAACTGACCTAGCTGACATTACTTCCGTGAGGGATTCAGAACATCATGGCATTGTGGGGAGGTCATTAAGGTGGGAGGTGCAGTCCAGCTGGAAGAGGGCACCTGGAGAGGGTCTAGAGCTTTATCTTGCCCTGGCCCTCTCCGGTATGTGTTCCTTTTATCTGTGTGATGGATGGCATGATATGAGTTTCTCTGCTCTGCTTCAATTTCCTCACCATGATGGACTGGCACCTCTGAAACCATGAACAACACAAATCCTCCTGTAAGGCACCGTGTCCTAGCCATGGGCAAGTAACTAATAAATACACACCCTTTGACACCCAATGCTGGATAGATTGATATTATTTTTTGTGTGTGTATGTAATATGAATGAGTGAAAGCATGTACATATAGGCAGGTATAATTGCAAGTGTGTGCATGTGTGTTGTGCTGGTTAGTTTTATGTCAACTTTACACAAACATAAACATATCTGAGAAGGACCCTTAGTCGTCTGGCCTGTGGGCAAGCCTGTGGCACATTTTCTCGATTGATGATTGACATAGAAGGACCAAGCCCACCATCTGAAGGACCAACCCAGGGCAGGTGATTATGGGTGCTATAACAAAACAGGCTGAGAAAGCCATGGGGAACAAGCCAGTAAACAGCACTTCTCCATGGCCTCTGCATCAGCTCCTGCTTCCAGGTTTCTGCCATGAGTCCCTGACCTGACTTCTCTCAGTGATGGATTGTAACCTGAAAGATGTAAGCTAAAATAAACTTTTCCTTCCCCAAGTTTCTTTTGGCCTTGCTGTTTTATCATAGCAACAAAAACCTTAAGATATGTGTGGAGGCCCGAAGTTAATGTGAATGCCTTCCTCAGTAGCTCTTCTCTATTGAGGCAGGGTCTCTTGCTGAACACAGAGCTCACCAATTCCAGATTGTCTAGCTGGCCAGCCTGCTCTGAGGATCCTGTCTCTGCCTCCACAGTGCAGAATTACAGGAAGCCACCATGCTTGCCTGCTCTGACGTGGATTCTAGGGCACCAAATCCCAGTCACCATGTTTTATGAACTGAGCCATCTCCCCTGCCCTGGAAGGATGTTTTTGGTCTATACTATTGGTCTGCGCTGACTGGAAAGTAACAGTAGGCAAGCCTCAAAAGCTATGCTGTTTTGGATGGCTAGTCTTGGCTGTGGGCTGTCAGCCATTGTTGGTTAACTATGAATCAATCTAATAAATCATATATATTCATTCTATCGGTTCTGTTTCATTAGAGAATCCAGACTAATACACTGTTCTCAACCAGATATATGTTATATTTCAGGTTGTGGCCATCTAACAAATGTTACTTTGGCCATCTGGCTTGTTTTCTATACAATGTCTACATGCCATTCCAGTTTGGATGAAGACCAAAGAAGGAACAGATTTGGGGCTTATTAGTTTTGTTGTGAAGAACACAAATGCAATTGTGCTTTCCTGTTACTTTAGCACAAGTCATGTGCTAGGTAAGTTTTCATATCAATGGAAAGCACAAGGAAACAGTGGTACCCCAAGCTTATAATGCAGGGGGACCATTCCTCTCTCCTTGAGACATCACAGCTATTGTGTCATCCCAGCCCAGTGCTTCAGTCACAGGTCTGTGGTGAGGCTGGTGTGAGCATACCTACTGCACTGACAGCTGTGTAAAAGCAGAGTGACACAACCCCAGGACACAGTGACAGCAAATAGCTGCATGATTGGCTTTGCATTGGCATACCAGGATTTTCATGATTATTTTGTGTACCTCTGTTTATAAAGTTTACTGCAAAGTCATATGCTTTGCTATACAGCAGAAGCTGCAAACATTGTGCTTTTTAGGTTTCATTTATTTTTTAGACTTTATTATTTATTATTATTTTGGGAGGGAACATATTTGGCATAGCATCCATGTGGATGACAACTTTGTGGAGTAGGTTCTTTCTTTCCACATTTACATGGGTTCTGGGACTCCAACTCAGGATTCCAGACTTGAATGGCCAGTACATTTACCCAGTGAGCCATTGTATCCACCCTTCTGTCTGGTGATTGGCCCATATTGCCCCGTTTTGTGTAAGTACCTCCCATGATGTCTGCATAACAAGAGCATCACTTGGTGATACTGTTCCCAGACCATATTTTCTATCACTAAGAAGCACATGATATAATCATACTGCAGATGATTTTTACCTTAGATTAAAAAAATTCTTGTGCTGGCTCAATTATTAGTTAAAACACAGGTAGTATTGCACACTCAGAACCAAACCCTCTGAAGTTGACATGAAGGTATTGCTTGTGGATAGATTCATATCAAAAGGTAACCTCATAAGTGAGCAACAGTTTACAAAACAACCTGCTCTTTGAAATCGTCATAATACTGAGCAATGGTCCAGAGACTTAAAACACACAGCTGTGTTCTAGAAGATTCCCAAGCACCTTGGGACTCACCAGAGATGTGCGGGCCACAGCTTCCACCACCGCATCAAACACCTTCTGGGGCAGGCGCAGGAGTGTGGTGCCGCTGTCCACAATGGCCTTGTCCGCATTATACTAAACCAGGGAAGGGAAAAGGCACTGAGCATGGTTGCATTTCTCATCCACATACTGTGACCCCCTTTCCATCACCTGTGTCTGTCATTGACAACTTCATGCAGCCACAGTAGCTCAGTGGTGACTATGAGTCACTTTATCTCCAGGGGCCAACCATGCCAGAGTTTTCACTCTAGAGATAAGGATTTTAGGCACAAGAAAGGGACAGGAACACAACCCAGAGTTCCCAGGCAGAGCTTTTTGCCTTCTTGGAGCTGCCCAAGTTGCCCTTCCCTCATGCCGGGCAGAGGGATGGGCCACTGGACTTTAGAGATTAAAATGACCCTTTTAAAAGCCACTTCTAAAAACTGCTCAAAATCCACTACCCAGTGGACAAAGAGAAGGACAACTCTTGATGGGTGCCCACATTTGCATTTGGGAAGGAAATTTAACAACAACATGCACATAACACACACTCTGTATTTAATGTGATACAAGCCTGGAGACTTCAGTGCTAACTAAGGGCCTTTGACAGTACAGAGTGTGTACTTGGGACCCAACCCTATGGCACTGGAGTAGACCAACATTTTTTACAGGTGTTTGTAATCATGAGAACTCAGGGCAGTGTGGAGACAGGTGAGAGTCCACAAGAGGGGAAGTGCTATAGGGAGCTATACAGTCATTGATTGGTGAGCTCCAGAAGCCATTCTAAAACCAACACACAGAACTGAGGCCTCCTCAAACTGTCATAATTTTAATACCATAAAATAAAAGAAGCCAAATGCAGTGTGATACTGGGTATGTGGCTAAAATGTGTGTCTTCCTAGTGGCATTGTCAAGCTACTGAGCCTTTAGGAGTATTAAGTTGTGTGTGTATATGTGTGGGGGGAGATGTTTAAGGAGGATAAAGCTGGCCAAGATGACTGGGGAAGATAAAAATGAAGTTGGACACTGTCCTCAATACTCAGCACCTTATACTACAGTGTGTGTGCGTGCACACAAATGCACATGTAATTTACTGATTTGAACTCATCACAGATAAAGACCAGGTCTTCCTGTAAGGATCTTCTGAGCTACCCTGTAATATGACACACCTTATGAATGCCCAGATCTCAGTTAAATACTGAGTCTTCCCTACAGGCAGAATCCAACAGGAATGGAAGATACTTACCTCTCTGCAGTCCAGGTTGAGGCTTTGGCCTCCAATTTCCAATTTCAGGATCTCTATCTGATAGTACCATTCCTCTTTAATGGGGGTATACCAGATGTCTCCTTTATACAAACTTGGTTCAATCCCACCCAGCACCTGGGAAGAAAAACAGTTGCAAATGTAAGAGGTAAAAACTATGTGCCTACATCAGTAGCTTCCACAGAGAAGCATTTCTTTGGGGTAAAACACCATTCAAAACAGTACCTTCACTTTATTCTGATGCTCTATAGCCAGTAGTGATGCTTGAAATTTCCCCATTTATAGAAGGCTTTGGCGGGGTGGTGGGGAAATGTTGGGCATGCCCCACAATACTTTGCCCTAGTCTGACAAAGATGCTCCACTGGTGTCCCAGACATACAGTTCCACCTTCATGATACTGAGAGTTCCCTCAAACAAATGCAGTAGAGTAGTTAATCATCCTGACTGTCACTGATTTACTGCCTCAGAAGCCAGAGATGAGGGGAAAAGACCACAAGATTTCCTAATCAAGGCATTGTTTAAAACAATGCTACCCCACAGTCCTGGGTTGCTCCGTCCCTCCAGAAAGAGACAACAGAAGTACATGGGGCAGGTGGACTGTTAGCAGAAGGCAATGGCTGGTGCTGATCCTCTGCAGTGAGAACAGGGACTAGACACACCTCCCAAAGAGGGGTCCTTCATATCTTCTGTACTTTGAGGAAGGTTAGTCTGCATCCTCCCTAAGGGATAGACTGCCCTGATTCCACTTCATTCTAAACATTTTTCGGGTGCTGTGTGCCTGTGTGTGGGCGGAACAAAGGGAAGGGAGTGAATGGGGAGGGAAGACAGGACAGTGGCTGTTTCCCATCAAGTATATGGAAATCATATGTGTATATGCCCTGCCTAGAGGGGGACCACATGCTGCAACTCTCTACTGCCCTTACACGCTGGTGCATCTTCCCACAGAAAGCCAGCTGTTTTGTATATTCTCAAAGGACAAATAAGGCAACTGGGGTAAGGTTTGGAGAAGCAGAAAAAAAAATGGCTGGACCATTATCCATCTTCTAAAGGTTGTATGACGAAGTTTATTAAGTTATCATTACATCCTGTTAGGGTGCCTAATATTTAGTGGTGGTTTCCTATAAGGTACCCGACCAGTACCTATATTACATTGTGTGTCTAATAGTTCCAATTTGTTTTTTAATAAAACAGAAAACCCATCAACTTTGTGATTTTTTTTCATCCCTTTAAGACTAAAAGATACCCACAAGACTACCTCCGTTGGTACCAGATCCGGCTACTGGCAATCCGGCCCCACACATCTGCATGGAGAAAATGTCTGGAATCTTCGCTTGGGCCACCAGGGAATCAAAGAAGGTCTCAAGAGAGCTTGATGGCTGCACAAAGGTGGGAAAGACAGTTACTGCGTTGTGACCACTGTGAAGACAGGGGTGACCTGGTGTTGTCAGCTTTCCTCTCTTTTGGTATTCTACTTAAGAGTCTTCATGGTTAATCAACACATATGCTTGAAAACAGGTGAGATCACTCAGAAGTCTCCCACCTTGCTTCCTCCTGTCTGACAGTTGAGGTTCTACCACAAAAGTGTGGTATCCCAGGGAGCTATTAGGATGCTGCCAAGCTGTTTATCACCATTTCAGTATAGGAGGTGTGTGAACTTGTGGTAGTGGGTTACTGATCTGGGTTTAGGTACTTGGGGTAAGAGAACACAGTCACTCTAAGAGTCCTGCCTACCTCCAAAGCCATCCAACGTACAAGTAACCATTGGCCTACAAGGACCATGCATCTGTATCCCAGCCCCTGGTACTCGAGCCATCACTGGCTTCAACAATCAGGATACTCTCCACTGTAGGATTGCAGACTCACTGTAGGATTGCTCAGTGCCTCTCCTGCATGGAGCTACATGTTTGAAGGACAACTCCATTTCACAAGAGTGTCCAAGGTGGAGAGGATGCTCTGTAAACAGCTTTGGGCTAGGAAGGAAGGTAGTTGACTTTGGCTTTCACAACTGGGAGACACCAGGGCTGGCTAACATGAGTGGCCAGAGTTTTGTTTTTTGCTTTCATCTGAGACAGAGTTTCACTATGCTGCCTAGGTTGCTCTTCAACTCAGCAGTCCTCTCAAGGCTTTGACCTTGAGAATAGCTGGGGTTACTGGCCATGCAGCACCATGCCATGTTGGGCTGTCAGTTTCCTCAGACAAATGTAATGCTCAGCTGTGGCAGCCGAGTGCCCATGGTCACTCTGAAGGAATAGCTGCTTACTAGCCCTGAGAACTTGAAGCTCCTTTATGAATGAGATAGGAGCCTCCTCACTTGCTCAGTCCATTTCCCTTTGGCTACCTGCTCCTTCTGTCTCTACTCCTATAGCCTTACCCTTGGCTTAGCACTATCACCCCATGTGATCTCTGCAGAAAGGCTATATACCTGGATGGACTGAAAGACAAAGTTCACCAAGGGGTGGGTGGGGTATGGTGGGGACTAATCTTGGTCCCCCTTCCTGAGTGGCAGCAGAGGATGAACACTTGGTTCATGTTTGGCTAGTCCTTGGACTGGTCCTGAATAGTTTGACTAGGTCTTTGTTGCCTTATCTAGCAACTGTGACCAAAGTTGCCTGTCAGATCAGTTCTGGGGTTTAAGAGGCCCAAGGTCTTTGTATCTAAAGAGCCTGATGTTGCAAGATATTTGATTACACTGTGTAAAGAATGTCACTGTGATTGGTTTAATAAAAAGCTAAATGGCCAATAGCTAGGCAGAAGGTACAGGCGGGACTTCCCAACAAAGAGAGCTCTCAAAACAGGAAAGGGGAAGTTGCCAGCTGGACGCAGAGGAAGCAGGGCTTGCAGGGGGAGAGGTAAAAGCCACAAGCCACATGGCAGCACATAGATTAATAGGAATGCGTTAAAGTTATAAGAGCTAGTTAGAAACAGGCCTAAGCTGAGGCCGAGCTTTCATAATTAATAAGAAGTCTCTGTCATTATTTGGGAGCTGGCTGGTGGGACAGAGAAAGACTTGTGACTGCCTGACACATGCATATCTCAGACATGGTGTTATTCTATGAGTCATCTTTTCCTTAGGCCCTGGGCCTCAGAATCTCACAAGGACTAAAAAAAAAATAGAGTTGTTCACAGCCAACCCTGCAAGATCCTTACCTTCTGTGTGCCGTGGAGCTCGGCATCTGCAGGATAAGATGCCCCCTAGTGGTTGTGATGCATGCCCTTTGGAGAATGACCTGGGACTCACCAGGTACCCACACTAGGATCACCACCCAGTCCTTGGCCATCCACACTATTTCAGGAATAAGACATTTGACCTAGGCAACCCGACTGGTCCTTCTAGATGCAGCCCACTCCCTCCTTACAGAGACTACTACTAGGTCCTCCAATGGCTAGCCTGAAACTAACCATTAGTAATCTGGGGATTTCATGGATGAAAAGATAAAAGGGTCATGTGGAGAGTCTGGATGCCTCCCCAGAAACCCCAAAGTAGTCTGTTCTCATGAAGCTTTACACATCATTAATTACATTTAATTTAGGATTGTTCTTCAGAATAATTAGCATTAAAATCATCTCATCCTTCATTTCCAATCAAAGGTATGATTTACCCAAGGTCACACGATCAGCAGAAGGGACTTGGGAACCCTTGTCCCATGCCAGTCTTCACATCTATGAAGTCTGTCCACAGTGCCAAGGACAAAGGGGCTCTTGAGCCAGTCCTGGCTCTGCAACAGAGTGAGAGTGGCCTGGGGCTAGTGTTTCAATCGATGCTAAACCTCTTCATTGAAGCAACCACAAATGTAAATGGAACACAAGGGCCTCACAGGGTCTGCCTCACAGGACATAAGCTGCATGAATGGCTATCTTGTGATGTCCTCTGACCAGGATCTGACAGGCACTTGGTAACCCCTGTTTATCCAGGAGACTTTAAGGGCTTGGAATTCCCACTTTGTTGCCCCGACACACCATTGTTAACAGACTGGAGCTGAGCACATATTCTCCAGGCTGGTGAACAGTCTTTTCTGGATTGTCCTGGGCCAGACAGGTCCATGGATCCTGTGGGTGCACTCTAGTTTGGGCCTAAGCCACTGAACTAGGGAGCAGTGCCCAGTAGCAGGGCCAGCACAGGTGACCCCTTCTGCTTTGCTAAAGTTCATAATACCTGCCTGTCTCCCAGATACAGCCCTTCTGTGAATCTGCCTGCCTCTGGCAGCTGCCCCAGGTACATCCTCCCTGCCTACCCTCTTCTAGCACACCAATATTTCTTTGGATTGATCCAAACACACACACAGGACATGACCCAATCCTGTCTTGGGAAGGCTCTGATTTTGTAAGCTCAGCATTCCAGCATTTTCTCCTGGTCATTCCTGCAGGGGCTGGCTGTCCACAGAGCATTTGATTACATGCCAGTTGATAATGTCTCCCCAAGAAGTCACCTGGGGTGACAGGATAGCAGTGCTCTCAGCGCTGGGTGAGCACCTCTACCATTTTGAAGGTTTAGTGTAACCCATAGACCTCTTCTTCATATGATCCCGAGAGATTAATTATATGTATATGTTTTCCTTTAATGCCACCCTCATCAACATTTCTAAGCAAACTCCACAATCTACAGGACTCACATTCTGAAAAAAGAAAAAAAACCAAAAAGCCAAACAGAAATTAAATAAACAAAACAGTAACAAAACCGAGCTGGAACTATGGTCCAGTTGGTAAAGGGCAGGAGCATGAGGCCCTGAGGTTGATTAGCCAGAACTCAAGTAAAAAGCCAGATATAGTGGCACACGCCTATAATCCCAGCACCAGGGAGGCAGAGACAGGGGGTTCCTGGAGTTTGCTGGCTAGTCAGCCTAACTGAATTGGTGAGTTTCAGGTTCACTGAGAGACAGTCTTAAAAAAAAATAAGGTGAAGAATAACTGAGGAAGACACTTAATACCAACCTCTGGTCTCTATTCATTTGTGTGATGCTCAGCCCCCAACACATATACACATATGTATACACACAAAACAAAATAAACAAACAAAAAACTAACATTGTATCTTAAAGGAAGTTACTCTAAGCTGCAAACATACCTAGAAACTTCATTGTGTGAACACTCATCTCATTAGCTATGTGATTCTTAGGCGGCTGTTATCCAGGATAACCCTGGATCCCTGTGCTGGTACCTTTAATGACTAGTTTTCACAGCCTCATCACCTCATCTGATTAACTTGAACAGGCATATCTGCCTTACCTTGGCCAAGGCAGCATAAGCAAGTCCGAGAATTCCATTCCACTTAATCCCAGGCAAAAAGAAATTCTCAGACTCAAAAATAGTGGCAATGTTGACCAGGAAAGAGCTGTTGAAGCCTTTGGGGATGGTGACAATATCCTCACCAACGATGCCAGTCCAGCTTCCCTGTGTGTACTTCACAGTGACATCAAAGCCCTTAGGGTGGTATGTGCTGGATCTGCAGAAGAAAAGAAACATTTGTGGTATTCTGTCTATAGGCCTGTGCTCTTTGAACCACCACTGTGGTACAGCTGGTCATTGTAGGGGAAGCTGTAGCCATGCCTACTTAGGGGCTGGCTACAGGTGTGCCTGACCACGCTTGCAAGGGCGTGGTCAGGGTGAAGTAGAGTGACTGCGTTTTCTCTTTCGGTTTCACTTTGGTACTGGCTGGACAGACTGCTGCTGTGCCGGCCTGCTAGGTTGCTCTGTAAGGCTTTCCCCTATTAAATACCCTTATATTTCTACCTGACTCTGTATTGGTAATTTCTCACTATAGGTCATCATGTTTTACAGTGATCCTTTACAGTCTAAAGGAAGTGATGCTCAGTAGAAAGAGGTGTTCACGTTGACCAAGGCACCATTATTCACAAGACATAAGCATGGACAACTTGGGAACTGTTGCCAGGCCACATGGAAGGGATGTCATGGGGTTGGCATGTAACCCTGGAGTTGAATTCTTCTCCCATGCTTAAGTCAAACCCCTGAGTCAGGTGCTTCATCTAGCCACCTCATTTTCTGAAGGACCCCAGATCTGGGAACACCCTGGGCCATCTGACTTTGCAGGGTCACTGGGCTTGCACTCTGCAACATAGAGCAGGAGGCTTCATTAGCTTGTCTCACAGTATGGGACTGAGATTCATGTAACCCATGTGAAGTGACGAAGACTAAGCCCAGGCTCTTCTGAGTACCCTAGTCTCACAGCCCTTCCCCAATGCCTCAAAGTTGATACTGCTATCATAATACAGTCAGCAAAACTGATGGCATGCTGTGGTGTAACCTAGAGCCTTGCATGTGTGTAGCCCTGAGAGTAAGAGGTACTGAGTTAGGATCACAGAAGCACAGTCAGGCAATGGAGAGGTGGGTGGGAGTGCTCCCTCTCCAGGTGCTCCGTGAGGAGAGACCACATGTGAGGACATGAAATATCAGGCCACAATGAGTGAGTCAGAACAGCCGGGGAATAAGGCAGAGTGAGGTCGGAGCAAGCAACTTGATGGTGGAGAGGATCTCTGATAGGTAGCCACCTGCTGGAGCTCTTAGTGGAGACAATGGACTAAAAGGCTGTCTGAGAGAGGACCCCGGTGCCAGGCTCTGGAATCTCTAACCATGAAAGGTCATTCTTACACTGTATTAGTCTGGAAATTCTGTAGGGTATGGGAAGAGACCCAAGGAAGATGGTGAGCATTCAAACCAGGTTCCCACAAATTCCTAATGGAGTGACAAATCACCAAGCATTTCCTAAGACTCCTGTTTGCCTAAATTTCCACTGAAATTTAACATTAACTCTGCAACAGAACCTCAAGTTAATACATCTCTGTTATCTGCACAAATACCTTTTATAATCAAGGAAAGAATGTAACAAGAGAGAGAAATGAAGTAAACACTGTGTACACAACTGTGTCCGTTAATCTGCACTGTCCATAGGGCCAGGCTTGGGATCACCTAGGACACACAGCTCCATCTGTGAGATGTTTTCTAAAGAGGTGTAATCGAGGCTGGAAAAAACACTCCAAATGTGGGTGACGCTATCCCATGGGCTGGGGGTCCCAGAGAATAAAAAGGATTACGGAAGAAACATGAACACCAGCATTCATCTGTCTCTGCTTCCCGCCTACAGTTGCAATGTGACCAGCTGCCTCATGTTCCTGCTGCCCTGGCTTCCCCACCAGGATGGATTATGTGATGGTGGGTGTCAACTGTCAACTTGACAGATCTAGAATCACACATGGGAGGCGGACCTCTCTGAATGCCTATAAGTAGATTGATTACTTTAAATTAACTGAGGTGGGAAGACACACCCATTGTGGGTGAGGCCAGTCCTTGAACAGGGGAATCTTGGATTATACAGATTGAGAAGGTGAAGCAAGCATGTATTGTTCTCTTTCTGACTGTGGATAGGATGTGTGTGACCAGTTACTTCACGCTCCTGCCGCCTAACCTTCCTACCTGCCGCCTAACCTTCCTACCTGCCGCCTAACCTTCCTACGGTGACTGTGAACTAAAAAACCCTTTCTCCCTCCTTCAAGTTGCTTTTGTCCACAGATTTCATCCCAGCAAATTAAAGACAGTAAAGCAGACTATATTCTCACATTGTGATACAAAATAAATCTTCCTTTTTTCTAGAATCATAATTGACTCTTTAATTTAAAAAAATTACAGGGAGCAATTTCTACCATATTTTATAAAAGTACTACAATAGCAAATATTTTCAATGCTCTCTCCTTTCTTTTATTGTACTATTTCCAACTGATGGCGCATGTGTCCTTAAAATAGAGAGTTTCCATCCTTTAGTCAAATGTCAACATTAAAGTTTTTGAGAATTTCATTGCTTTGCGTGTGGGCAAGAAGCTACTAGCACATTTTAGGTAAATAAACTTCTTTAAAAAAAAACAACTATGAGGTCATTTATGTTTAAAACTTTCAGGATAATTCACAGAAAAAATATATATGTATTCCAAATACAGACTGAAGCACTGGCTGTCTAGCTATGAAAATTTAAAGGTACAGAAGCTATTTAAAAAAAAAATGAAACACAGTCATTCTCCTTGGTGCACTACACATAACTGAAAAACCAGCATTGTTATACCAGGTTGTTAGGATCTTAAAAAAAAAAATCACATGCTTTGCTTAGTAGTCCATTTGTGCTTAAAATATTCATAGGCATGAGAAACTTCAAGAAAAGACATCTTTACATGGTCATCAAAAGAAAGTTACACATTTTCTTTTTTAAATTGCACTGTTATTTAAGCTGCTTTTCTAAAGTCAGAGCCTCCTTTGCAGCATGCACAGTGTTTCAGGTCTGATTAGCAACTTGGGGAGGCCCCTCTGGTATGAATGAAGCAAAAAAAAAAAAAAAAAATGACCAAGCTGAAGATATTAACCTGACCTTTGGAATGCAGTGCCAGTCACCCATGCCTTCTCCACTCTCATCTTAAGTCTACATCTACAAGGGGCTTTATTTCTTCCAGATCTAGTTTGTTTGCATTCTGTTCATCATGTTAACTTCAACATGGTTGGGAGCCTCTTACTGACCTCTTCCCCGAGAGGAAACCATCCATCCTGGTGTGAATCAGCCAGCAGCATGGCTCCATCACCATGACAAACTGACTAAAGGAAGAATAGAAGTATACGGTTTTGAGAACTGCAGTTTGCACCCAGTGCAGTCAGTAGTGGTTGAAGTCTTCCTAACGCCTTCCTTCTTTTAGTACTGTCAGGCATTTTGCCATAGTCATGAGAAAAGTAATACAAACCTCCCAAGAATGGGCAGACAGGGAAAGAAAAATGGTCGTAGACACGGGCAGGCTGAGACCCTGGTAACACCCCAATACTTGCCTATGTGGTGTTCTCAGTAAGACCTTTGGGGCATGAGTTTTTGAGGGCGGACCAAATGGCAAGTATAGTGCTGATGCAAGCTCAGGCACACAGGAGGAAACAAACACGTCTGTGGTGAAAGGCAGCAAGGAAAACAAAGGCTGAAGTCTTAAATCATTTGACAAACAGGTCAAGTTCAGAAACAATGGCAGAACGACTGAACACTGGAGTCACCACACCTTTTCTATGAGGGGTCTACAAAGGCATGTCCTCAGATTTGCTCACCTTATAATCACTGCAGCAGGTGCCGGGCTGTGGTGCTGTATCAAGAGAATGGCCATAGACTATATAGAAGCAAATGTATGTGGCTGTGCCCCAATAAAACTTTATTTATAAAACCAGCATTCAGTTAATTTGGCCCACTGTCTACAGTTGTGGACCCTTTGAGCTAACTAGCAGATCAGCTATTTTCCCCGGTCACTTCCCCAAGCTGGGCTTTGAATGACATTTTATTTTCATCTCATCTAGGCTCAGCATGTTCCTTAGAATAAGAACCTGAGCCACACCATACCACATGACACGTTTTTGGGTTTCCTGTTATGCCTTACATGGATAGGTCTGGACCATACCATGCCATTTGCAGAGAACAAAAAGGCAGTAGGACTCACAGTACCACACTCCACATACGAGCTCACTCACTCACTAGCTGTATTATTTTGGTACAAGCTATTGAATTGTCTGCTTCAGTTCCCTAATATTCCAGGATAAGCCAGAACTGTACCTCCTGAGACTACCTATGCAGACTGGAAAGGTTAATCTGTGACAAATTTAGAACAAAATCCTGGCTTCCAACCAGTGTGCAACAAACAGCCACAATTAGTGTAATTATCAAAGGGCTTCCTGGCTTTCTCCAATCTACGAGCTACCAGTAGAAAACTCAAGGTTGTTCTAGAAAATACACCTATAGGATGGCACCACTGAGTACCCTAAACTTAAAGTCTGACTGCCTCTCAAAAGGGGGGGTAACAATTCCTGATGTGGGTAACTCGACTGTGGAGGAAGAGGCACAAGGTCTTGTTTTAGGTCCCTGGTCAGCAGGCTTCTACACAGTCCAGTGCTATGATCTGGACTGGCACTGTCCACCAGAACCTGCTCTGATGATGGTGCTGTTCCGCGTCTCTCTCGCCCATTATGGAAGCCACATGTGGCTACTGGAATGTGATGGTGCCAGAATGCTGAACTTTTATTTCCTTTCATTTAGCACTAATTAATTTAAACAGCTCCACATGATCAGTGACCACCCCTGTAGAAAACATTTTCCGAGAGGATGTAGGAAAACTCTAATTGTAAGCGCTCCCTCTTGGGGCTCCTTTAGGGAATCTGAAAGAGTAGGAGGAGGCCTGGGAAGCACCATGAGCAGCCCGAAGGTTATTAGCATATCACCTTGAGCACCTCACTTTAAAGTGATCTCCTCATCTTGATTTGCTAACATCCTACTTTTCTGACTCTGGATTTCTGCTCTCACTTGCTTTTCACATTAATCACATCAAGGGAAAACCCTGGATGGGCTTCTCATTTGCAAGGCCTCCAATCCAGATGCTCAGGCATGGCAAACAGTCAGGGATGTGGGTGGCCAGGAATGAGTCTGCTCACAGCAATAAAAACAATTTGAACAAGATTTGGAAGACATTCTGCCTCTGATCAGAGAGTCCAGGGAAAGCAGGACTAAAAGAAAGATCAGTTGAAGCCAAGAATGGAACTTCAGGCCATCGTGTTTCAAGAGAAAGCCACCATTGTTTCTAGACAACACAGAGAGGTGGAATTGCTGAATTCAAGGGCAAGTCCTTGGGTCAGCTCTGGCTCTACCAAGTCACCCCACCCAGGGAATGCCAAGGATCCTACAGGCTTCTTCACAAGACTTCAGTGCACACTGCTGAGTTTGGCATCAGTGGGCTTAGTGATTTGGACCTTGTGACTTGTCAATGATTTCAGAAGTGACCAGAGCTGAATGGATGGGAACCTTGAGCCTGTCCTGCTGGTTCAAGCCCTCAGGCTCCAAGGAAGCCAGCTCCTGATGGACAAGTCAACTACAGACAGTCTTGAAAAGTTATCTGAGCAACCAAGAAAAAGAACTGTTGCCTACAGCATGGAGAGACATCTGTGTGTCTCTGACCTCCTTAAAGACATTACCAGGTAGCCCTTTTGCTCCCTAATCTCACGTATAGGCATCCTTGAATAAAATGAATTGGTTCATCACTTAAGTGTTTCTGTGGGTTTTGTCCCAGATGGAGCAAGTGCAGGAGCATGGTAACATTAATAGACAAGCATGCTTAGACTCCTGAATGACAGAGGGTTAAATGAGGTGCATATTCCATCTTTCTCCAAGCCAGACTGACAGAGGCCATTTTATTGGCTGAAAAGAAAATGCATTTGAAAAAAAAATGTAGCCCTTTCCCTCTTGCTGCATAGTTAGACACCAGGGCATTCAGCAATGGCAAAGAGGGCTCATGATGGGGACAAGTCACACAAATGACTCACAGTGGTCCATCATCTTCCATAAATCAAAGAGATCTTCTCAAAGAACCTGGAGCCAAATCTCCAATTATTGCACAATGCTTCAGGAAGTACAAAACCTGAACATCTGAAAGACTGGGGGCTTGAATCAGAGGCTTCCATGCACAACCAGAAGCCTTATTATAACAAAGAAATCAGAGGGCCAAGTCGATACTCAAACATTGTAGGGCAGGGGCCCACCTCTCCACAAAGGCACCTTTGTCAGAGATCCAGAAGGAAAGAGACTGTTGTCTGGCTTCCATCAGATACAACAGTTGAAAAACCTTACCATGGCCAACATCAGCAAAAGTACTAGACAAATGATAATTTACATGGAGAGCAAATATTCTTTATAATAATTATGTCTCCGCTGACTCTAAGCACAAACAAGTTTCCTCCAATCTCAACAGTCCTCGCCAAGGAGAAGGCAGAAATGGCAAAGACGAGCACAGAGGGAAGTCTTGCTTTCCTAGACCTGGGTGTGTTCTGCTGTTCCTCTTTTATTTACTTAAAAGCAGGGGAAATAGATCTGAGGTGGCAGGGCTGAGGGGGTGTCTCTGTTCTTTTGTGGGCTTAGCAGGAAGGAAGGCTGAAGGGTCACAGCAACAGTGGAAAGCCCAGGAGTTCCTATTGACTCAGATGAAGGCAGGCCTGAGAAGCCCAGCTTACTGCACAGGATAAAGGGAAATTTTGGGCCACCTCCCACACACCTGGCTAGAGGCACAAAGTTCACCTGAAGGAGGAACGCAAAGCAGAGAGAAAGAGAAAGAGAGAGAGAGAGAGAGAGAGAGAGAGAGAGAGAGAGAGAGAGAGAGAGAGAGAGAGATTGAGACCTATTGGAGCCTGAGAACCAGGGTTCATCCTAACAACAAACACAGTAGGAGGTCGGTGAGAAAGCTATCTAAAGTTGACTAATTAACACTGAGTGGTAGAGAACACAGCATCAGCAACAGTGACTTTTATTTACCGTGGAACATTTCCAAAACTGCATGGTCTTGTCAAAAGATGCCTGGGTGCACTTTGGCCCTGATGGAGCCGAGAATGAGGCTGCCAAGGGGATGCCAGATAGTTGCCTCCGGGCTGGACATTGCCTTTACAGGTACCATATGCACCTATATGTCCATATCATCCTGACTCATGCTAGTCCCAGCTTTACAGCTTCCTTCCTGTGGATCTTACACCATCCGATGTGAGATAAGGAAAGAATTACCACACTGCTGGGAGGGCTTACCTGTTTCAGATTTGTGAGCTGGGACTTCCTGGTCTGCAAGGGGAATGGATATGCTCTGTTTTGGACTACTGGCAGGTCAGTGCCAAGAATGGTACAATCCTAGAAGAGGCAGCACATCTCTTTAAAAAATCCAGAGCCATCCACCTGCCACAGAGCTTCCTCAAGCTCCCTATATGCATGTGGGTGGAAAGCTATTTGTATGAGACAGGGGAACCTCCCTTTATCATTTCAGCCTAAGTATGTATCATAGGCAGGGTTAACATGTATCGGAACATTAACCAATGCACTAATGGAAGGCAGTTGACACTGTAGTTTTCAGCTCATGAAGGTTCTTCTTCATTTTAGAAAATCCCATCAACTACCCAAGATAAGCAGGTAACTGGCCTAAGCCAGTTGCCTCGATGGCCTACACTGGGTCTGTCTCACATTGGGCCCACATCCACACTGGTGTACAGCCTCCAGCGTCCTCTGTGTTCCTCTCACTGGATATGCTCATAGGATGTCCTGAGTACTTTACTCATTCCACTGCATGCATTCCTGCCCCTCAGGCTTGGTGGAGTGTCCCTCCAATACTTGAGACCAGAAGTAATTAATATTTCAAATTAAGTTTTTCTGAAATGTTTAAATATTTATAATGAGATACTTGGGGAAGAAGACCTGAACGTAAATGAAAGCTTCATATCTCTCTCTCTCTCTCTCTCTCTCTCTCTCTCTCTCTCTCTCTCTCTCTCTCTCACACACACACACACACACACACACACACACACACACACACACACTTTACAAAGGTGGCCTGAAGGTCACTGTATACAGTAGTTTTGGTACATTTGTGTCACACACACACACACACACACACACACACACACACACACACACACACACCACACACACACACAGACTGACAAACATGGCCTGAAGGTCACTGTATATAGTAGTGTTGGTACATTTGTGTCACATACACACACACACACACACACACACACACACACACACACTCACACACTCACACACACACACATTACAAACATGGCCTGAAGGTCACTGAATACAGTAGTTTTGGAATATGTATGTTGTGACTGGCCTGAGGTCAGTAGTGGAACTTGCTCCTTGCAGGATCATGTGGGTATTCAAAGCATTTCATACTTGGGAGTATTTCATGTTTTGGATCAAATATGTAGCACCTGCACTATCTTAGCCTCGTAAGAATTATGCATGTGGTAGCTATAAGGTCTTTGATTTCATGTAGGAACATTACAAGGCATTTGTTGCAAGGGCTAAGTTCTGGAAGCTGGAATTCAGAAGACTCCTTGCTCCTTCATCTCCCAGGTTATAGGCTTAAACATGAGAGGTCTATCCTACTCCAGGGCAGCAGTCCAGAGGGTATGATGGGAGTGGGTGGGGGCTGTATAGAGACAGAGGCCTGGGTGAACCACTAGTGGGACCAGGACAAAACAGCAAAACTTCCAGAACCCAACCTGCTGGCACACACATAACCCAACCCCACTGGCACACACACAGATACTCCACCCACTCCACACACATGCTCACAGTATAACAATAACTTTTGGGCATGTCTTCAGTCCAAAATAATCACTGGCCAGGTGTTGTGCCTGAATGTCAATCTGATATTTTATCACTATGTAGAGTCATACAGAGGCTCTATGTTTCTTGAGGGAGGGACTGGCAGTATTATACTAAGGTGCTATGAGGTGCCACCCAGCACAGGTTGTCACTGCCCTCTCTAGCTGTGCAAACAGGAGACACTGATATTCCCAGCACCTGAGTAGAGCCTGATATGCTATGGGTGGGATACATGTGGGTGGGCTCACTCTGCACTACTTTCCCACACTGTGAAATGCAGCTCTTGTATAACCAAGGAACATATTACACTTGAAATTCCACAAGGAAATTTCCCCAAGGTTATCAGGGGGAACCTGATACAGATTCCCCGGGACAAGAAGTGCATGTATTGTGTGCATTCATTTACACATACGAGCACACAAGTGCATGCAAACACACACACATGTACAAATACACAAATATGCAACCATGTGCACAGCTCCCTTGAAATGAGAATGGTCTTCTGGCTGTTTCATTCTAATACATTCTCAAAGATGCAATCCAAGACACACCCCCAAGGCCAGCCACTGAAACTGAGGATAAACCACTCACCTCTCTGAGTCAAAGTAGGAGTCTACGTAGGAATGTGGGGCACCGGCCACAGCGAAGTTACTGCTTCCAGTGTCCACAAGAATCTGTAGCTTTTGTTTTTTAAGGAGAAAAGAAATGGAAAGTTTCAAGTTATTTGAAGACACACCAAGCACAACCCTTTATTGATTGGCAAAAACCAATCTCCCCACTGACTGAGGGAGAAATGTTAGAAAATGACATATAATATGATCTGAAAAACCCGACACAGCTCAGAGGATGCTGCCACAGCGGAGCCAAGTGGAATTTGCCTCAGATACACAGGAGCCTGTTCCAAACAGGTCTGTTAAACAAGGGGTGGAGAGATTTCGAGTCACTAATGCTTGCTAACACAGCCAGTTCCTTAGTCTCCCATGGGATTTTGCTCAGGTTCATCCCTAGCTGGGAAATACTTGCTTTTCCAAATATTTCTTGGAGTATCAGATTCACCATGGTCTCTGTTCCCCAGGGACCTCCCTCACTATTGGTCTTTCCTCCATCCTCTCCCTGCTGAGTCCCCAAAGACACTCATCACAGTATCTCCTTACTAGAATCTATTTTCATTTCATGGTTGCTTTGCCTGCATGTATGTTGGCAAACATGCATGGTGGAGAAATGAAGAGGCAGTGGTGGTGGATGTCTGCAATCCCAGCACTACAGAGGTCAGAGAGGGAGGATGGTGGGTTGGAAGCTAGCCTGGACTACACAGTGAGACCCCGTCTCTAACAAACAAAATCTCAAGCCAAAGGTCTAACGGTGGGTTTGGGCAGGATCTACACTCAACCCAAGATATCCCTAAAACTCTAATTATCCCTACAAGTCCCATTTGTTCTCCTTTCCCTCTTCTTGGGAGATGCCACTCTCTGTCTTCTATTGGAACAGGTGGGTTTCATCTGTTCTTCGACATTCGATAATCACGTGGTTTTCTTCTCTTTTGGCTGAGCTGCTTTTGAGATCCATACATGTTGTGGACTATCTGCTCTTTTCTTTCTACCACCAGGCTGCATACCATCACTTGCCTCTGCTTCTCCTGATGGACAGTTGGCGTACCTCTAGCTTCAGGCTATTAGATAAGGCTGCCTGGACATTCCTGTCTTTTTGTGAATGTGTTTCTATTTCTCTTGGGAATGAAACCTGCTGGGTCAAAGGTAGATGCCTTTAACTAAAAAAAAAAAAAAGCCATGGGAATAGTTCCTAAGCCTAGATGCAGGATCTGTACCCCCATGGCACTGAGACATGGTCCACTGGGCTCATGTTCTCCATGTCCCTGTAAAAGTTGATGGTCCTGGTCTTTTTTGTTTCAGCCATCTAGTGGGTGTGGGATGCTATCTAATTGGCAATTACCCGGTGGCTAATGACATGCAGCTGTTGCCCTGTAAATCCATTGTTTGACTCATCTGTCCAGTAAACATGGGTCCCCAGGGGGTGGAGTATATTATACACCCTTTCACACCTAGCATCTATCCTCTGTGCAGACATGGACCAGCTGTTTAATGATTAAACACAGACTTTAGAAACAAGCATGAAATAAGTAGTTAAAGTCTTAAAGGTTTGAACACTGGAGTTAAACTACAGAAAGTGCTATTAGGCAGGTGAGGTATTTTTGTCGTTGTTTTGTTCTGTTTTTTTGTTTGTTTGTTTGTTTGGCTTTTCGAGACAGGTTTCTCTGTATTGCTTTGGAGCCTGTCCTGGCACTCGGTCTGTAAACCAGGCCGGGCTCGAACTCACAGAGATCCGCCTGCCTCTGCCTCCCAAGTGCTGGGATTAAAGGTGTGTGCCACCACCGACTGGCCAAGCCGGTGAGTGTTTAATCCAAGACCACTCATCAACAATTTTACTTCTGCCAGAACCCTCAGCTTGGCGAGGCCCAGAACATTCTATCTCTGGACCCCAGGATGCCACCCTTGCTGGGTTTTCCTCCTACTGCCCCTCTCTCTGCTTCACTGTCTGGCATTCTTCCAAGTCTGCTGGCAATGGCCCTCAGGGACCATGAAGAATTGTCACCTGCTTGCAGTGTGCTGATGACCCCAGGCTTACCTGCCCCTGGGCTTGGGGTTTACCTGTCCAACATATCTACCTGGATTTCTCTCATCCACTGCTGTTAGGTCTAAACCCCTGTCCCTGTGAGAGGAACAATGTTTATAAATGGGTCAGAGGTGATCAAGTTAAGAGGAAATCATTAGGTAGGGACCTAAAGCAGCCTGATCGGCATTCTCTGTGAGAGGAAAACTCTCATGAAGACAGCGGCACAGGGGCTGCCATGTGACAACAGAGGCAGGGTAGACCAGGAGCTAGAAGAGGCAAAGCAGATCTGTCCTTAACCTCAGAACCAGTGGCCTTGTCAACAACAACTTCATCTCAGATTTCTAATCTCTTGAACTCAGAACAAACTCCTGGTGTTTTAAGCCACATAGTTGTGGTACTGTGTGGTAGAATCCAGGAAAGAAAAATATTCAACCAGAAAAGAATCTACAAGATTCATAGGACTTTGCCATCTCAGTTAACATAGTCCTATAACATTTGCTCAGGGCAAACCCTTCAATTCTCCCTCCCCACATTCCACCCATCACCAGGTCCTATTGGATCCACCTTCTGGTTCCACATGGCACCTCTGCCCACTTTGTACCACCTCCATGGAGAACATGGGGGCCCATGTCATTGACACCTCTTGCCTTTTCCTAACTGATCTCCCCACCTTCTTCCTCAGTCTGCTCCCAGCAAGATGACCTCTGGCCTGTTCAGTCAGAGCTTGTCAGTTCTCTGCTCTTCCATCTTTCTTCAATGTAAGTCCCATGATGAATACCAATCTGGTCTTCAGTAAACCTTACCTCGTGCCACTCGAGCCCTTCTGACCACCGGTTGTCCTGGGAAACCAGGGTCCTGTGTTATGCGTGTGACATCACACTGCTTCTCCCAAGACATGTTGCTGACACCTTTTTAATGATGTGGCCCTGACCACCCTTTGAGCTTCCATCCCTGTCCCTGCAAGCACCACCTGTTCCTTTTCCCCATTCCTGCTCCTGTGGCACTACTGGTCACTTCTACCCTGATAGAGATGCAAAGATGTTCCATAATATCCACCGAGTATCCAGTGCACTACAATAACATGTTCACCCTCTGGGGACTGTGCCATCATCACCCTCATGCCACAGACGGGGAAACTGAGGTACAGAGAGGCTGCCCTTCTCAGTTATATGAGGGTAGTAGCAGAATCAATGTTAGAGGCCAGCCAGTGTGACCCCAAATGTGCTCTTACCCAATCAGCTTCTCTCTAGCTCTGTGACTCACTCCATCCTGACATTCTCATTGGCCTTTCCTCTCAGGGCTTTCTCTCAATGACAAGGACTTTTGACACCCCCCCCCCCCCCCCCCCACACACACACATTATGTTTCCAATGCACAGAAAAGAGCCAGGCACAAAGTAGTCACTGAATAGACAGTTAATTTACTCTCAGCTGAAGACACTAACTTTGCCCTTGGTACAGAGGTGACATAGACAGAAAAATAAGCACACAGGCCATGGAAATAGTCTAAGCATAGAAAGCTGTCGAGCTCAAACTCTGCAGGGATGGCTTTGGGGATGCTGGTTTCTTTCTCTCAGCTCTACAGGATTGTTTGGATTGACTTCAGATCGAAAAGAATATGAAATAGATGTGTGCTCATGAAATCCAATTCAAGCCAAAAGCTGGTGTTCGCCAGCCCCAAGTTCTGAAGCTACAATATGGATTGTATCTGAGTGTCTCATAAACATACAATGGCCACCAAATAAATATCCATCTACAGTCAGTCCCTGGCATCTGAGGCACGTGGTTCAAGACCCTCTGTAGGTATCAAAAGTTCACAAAGGTTCAAATCTTGAAATAAAATGCTGTATAACTGGCCTGTGACCTACATACATAATCCCATATACTTTGTTTACATTTGTTCATTTATTATTTATTTATTTAGAAACAGGGTCTTACTTTGTAGCCCTGACTGGCCTGGAACTCACTCACGATGTAAACCAGGTTGGTTCCAAACTCATAGAAATCCACCTGCCTCTGCCTCCTGAATGCTGAGATAAAAAGGCATCCACCACCACACCTGACCACAAATACTTCAAATGACCTCTGGCTTATTTGAAGTATCTAGCACAATGTAAATCCTATGAAAATAGGTATATTGTTTGTGGAATAATGACAAGTCTGTGTGTGGTCAACCCAACATATATATGTGAACGTGTGTGTGTGTGTGTGTGTGTGTGTGTGTGTGTGTGTGTGTGTGTGTGTGTGTGTAGACCAGAGGTTGATCTTTTGCGCCTTCCTCAATTGTTTTCTGCTTTAGTTTTTGGGACAGGGTCTCTCACTGAATCTGGAGTGCCTTGATTTAGCTAGGCTGACTGAGTAATCAGCTCCAGGGATTGCCTGTTTCCACTACCCACCTTCCAAGGGCTGGAGTTATAAATGTGCACTACTGTGCCCAGAATTTTATGTGGGTGTGACAGATCCAAACTTAGGTCCTCATGTCTGCATGGGACTTTATCAACCTAGCCATCTCCTTAGTCCTGCATTAAAAAATAATTGTGTGTGTGTGTGTGTGTGTGTGTGTGTGTGTGTGTGTGTGTGTGTGTGTGTGTGTGTGTATGCATGTATACATGTGTGTAGGTACCCACATGGTATTGGATCCCCTGGAGCTGTTGCGAGCTACCTGACATGGGTGCTAGGAACTAAATTTAGGTCCTCTGGATGAGTAGTGAGCACTCTTAACTTCAAAGCCAGTAGTATATCATGCCATATATCTCTAGCCATATAAATCTATCATATGCTCGTGTGTGTGTGTGTGTGTGTGTGTGTGTGTGTGTGTGTGTGCACATACATTTTGTGTTGGTTTGAATAGGAATGGCCCCTGTAAGTTTATAGATTTGAAGGACTGGCTATTAGGAAGTGGTGCTAATTGACAGGGATTAGGAGGCATGACCTTGTTAGAGTAGTTGTGGCCTTGTTGGAGGAAGTGTGTCACTGGGGGTGGACTTTGGGGTTTCAAATGCTCAAGCCAGGCCTCGTCTCTCTTTCTCTCATTGCCTGCTGCCTGTGGATCCAGATGCAGAGCTCTCAGCTACTCTCTAGCACCATGTCTGCCTGCAGGCAACCATGCTTTCTTCCTCAATGACAATGGACTGAACCTCTGAACTATAAGCCAGCCCTAATTAAATGCTTTCTTCTATAAGAGTTACTGTGGTTGCCGGGCATTGGTGGTGCACACCTTTAATCCCAGCACTTGGGAGGCAGAGGCAGGCGGATCTCTGTGAGTTCGAGGCCAGCCTGGTCTCCAGAGTGAGTGCCAGGATAGGCTCCAAAGCTACACAGAGAAACCCTGTCTCAAAAAACCAAAAGAGTTGCTGTGGTCATGTGTCTCTTCACAGCAACAGAGTGTTGACCAAGACTCTCTTCCTTGTGAGGTTTGCTTCTCTTCTCCCATCATGTGGATACCAGGGATTGAATTCAGGTTCTCATGCTTGGCAACAGGAACTATTACCAGTGCAGAGTCATCTTACTGGCTGGGGGTTTGCTTTCCAGAACTGTATTTCCCACAATGGCTGAGGCATCCTATAAGGTAGTAAGTTCATCACCTCCTGCCAGCCCTGGGTCCAAACTCTGTTCACCCAACTCTATGCTATGTCCTGAGATCCTCTCAGGGGAGCTCAGCCTGTACCCCAGGATGGACATCATCTTCTCCAGGCACTTCCACATTCCCAGATGCCTCACTGAGGTCTTCACACTGGAACAATGGTTTGCCTGAATTTTGTAGACCTTGGTGACTTTTATGGAATTCTCACTTAATGGATTTCTTTCCAGTGTCTTTCAACACCCAGCATCTGATGAGAAATCCAAGGCCCCTCTTACTTTCCCTCATTACACAGTGGTTTTCTCTTCCTCTTTGGATACCTGAAAAATTCTTCCCTCGGGCTGCAAAGCTCTATAGCATTATTGATGCATCTTAATACAGTCAGGTTTGGTTCAATTTTCCTAAGTCATGGGGCTTAAATTTCCACCAGCAGCCATAACAACTTCCCAGAAACTGGTGGCATGAAACAGTGTATGCTCATTCTTACAGTGCTGGAATCCAGACAACCAAAGTCAGGTGTAGGCAGACCTTCCTTCTCTGAGAGAGAAGCTCTCCTGAGAAGGGCCATTCCTGCCTCTTTGGCCTCTGCTCAGTACCCCCAAACCTCAGGCTGTTAGGAAAATGTGTTCCAGGTCTCCCATTCACTTTGTTGTAAGTTGCACGACTTGCTTTAGACACCTGCCACTAGATCACATTGTCTATCTTCAAGGTGGCTGCTTGAGAGTAGATCCACTCTCTGCCAGCTTAAGGGTAAAACTGGAGCAAAGGTCAAGTGCACGGTGCATGTGGAAGACGAGAGGCCCATTTTGGGAAGGGGCTTTGAAATGAAGCCTACCCAACACCAAGACTACTTATTACTGTCTAGGGGCCTTGACTTGGTTTTGCTCTATCAGTTAAGAAATTTAAAGGCAGCGAAAATCTCTAGCACAATAGGTAGCAGTTGGGGAAACCTCAGACACAGCAGACAGAATCAGTTGGTAAAGAAAGGCTTTTATTAGGGATGAAGAAACACAGAGTGACTCTCTATAGAGAGTGGGGGAGGGCTTGGGAGCCCAGAATATTTTTTTCCTTGAGGGTTGGTGGGGGCAGGGAAGTCTTTCTCTCCTAATTTAGAGTTGGTCAGTTTGAACAAAGACAGAAGGCTGATAGGATCACAACTTTGAGGTAAGCGTGTTCCAATCTAGCCTTGTCAGAGGCGTCCATTGGCAGAGGGGCTCTACTGGTATGAGAATAAGCCCTCCGTCAGGCCTTTGTTTCCGGCCAAAAGAACGAGGAAGAGGCCACAAGTTTGTCATTTTTATTTCTATTTTTAGCTGCTCTCCCTCTCTGGTTGCCCATCAGGGATCTGTTTTAAGTCCCTCAGTCTGACTGACCAGCAGACACCATCAGCTCTGCCCCAGCTGATACATGTAGCCAACAGAACTAAGTGCTCCTGGTTGCTGGGCAGGAGATGATGCTTGAAGTTGCTTGGGTAGAAGAAGGGACAGAGAGCTGAAGGGCTGAGAAAAAGCAAAAGAGCCCCTGAGCACTTGGGATTGTCTTCTGAGACAACCAAGAAATATCATACTTCTGGAAGAGGAGAGGCTGTCAGGCCAAAGACACATCACCTAAAAACAGTAACCAGATCATTAAAAGTTATAGACAATAAAACCCACAGATTCTTGAACACAAATGGCTGTCTCCCACGGCCATTGTTAGGCCACAGCCCAAATGTCTCTGGGGTCTCACTGGCAACCATGCACCCGACAGCAGGCAGGAAGCCTGTGAAATGCCAGCCTGGCCCAGAGTGCTGCTCTTACTGTGTGCTGCCAGGCAGCCTGGCATTCCATGTTCACCCTGACTACTCCTGCAGGCCCAGGGAGGACAGCAGCAAGATCATTGTCTTCCACACAATGGTCCCAGTGATGGGGACTTCTCAGTTGCCATTCCACCCTCTCTCCAGGGTCAGGAATTCCTCCTAGCCTCCGCTGGCTGCCATGAACACGGCTCTTTCATAGTCCCCATCCCTGCTTCTGCCCCTCTGCTCTCTGTCCTCCCTCTGCAGGAACTGAGAATATAAGTATAGAGGAAACCAACCCAAACAAAAACTTGTGTGACTCCAACCATTTCTTACTGCTGCCCAGGCCTTCTGTGCTACTGTGTTTCCCCAGAAAGTTTAGCACAAGTCCGCTCACTTCAGAGGTAGGGTCCCACAAGCAACCCCTCCCCTAGTGCTTATTCCTAGAGCATGCTGCAGGAGAAGAGAGATTGCCCAAAATAGTTAAGTATTACGTTTTGAATGTAAAATGTACCCCCCATAGGCTCACGTGTCTAAATCT